TCGAATGTGTTGAAGTGCTCCCAAACTGCTGAGGCGCGCTTACATTTCTTCTTAGAAATTGCAACACTTGCACTAGCATTACCGCTTACCTCTCTTCCACGCCCACCAATGTCACCACCATTACGTCCACGACCTCTAGTACGTCCACCAGGGCTCGGATTTACAGTTTTCTCAGCAACTCTTTCTGTAGTTTGTGATTCCTGCGTTTGAAAAACATTAGGAAATTGTCCTTCTTCGATGTTGAATTGGGCATCAATGGGAATATCACCACTATAACCAGAAGAAGCCATTATGAAAAATAAGAGAGATTGAGAGCGCTTTGAGAGAGATTAAGAGAGATCGAGAGAGATTTAAGCGAGATTAAAAGAGATTTGAGAGAGATTAAGAGAGATTTGAGAGAAATTGAGAGAGAATGAAAGTTTTTTTGTGAGGAAAATGGATGGGGGAGGGGGGGTATTTATAGGAAATTTTTTGGCTTGAAAAAAAAATTTGTTCTCCAAAAAATTCGGCTCCAACGGCCAAGTGGAATTCGGGCATTCGGGTCGGGTTTGGGCAACAATAAAAAAATATAGCCGTTGGGGTTTGAATTTTCGGGCAAAATTCAGGCGGCGAATGGCACCTGCCCGCCGTGCCCAAAAATTTTTGGGCATCGAGCATGCCCACCGCCCAAAGTTTCACCACTACGTGTTTGTTGTCCCACGAAAAGTGAATGAAGATGTAAAATGATTTATATACATGACTTAAGACTTAATGGATTAATTTTTTGGGTCAAGTTAGGCTCTTGAAGTGTGTTATATCAATTTTACATGTGGTGTATTTCTAACAACTGATATCAGAGTTGATGATTCGCTCAGATTAAACGATCATATTCAGTTACAATTGTAAGTGCAGATAATGGAGCATTTGGTGGACTCGTATGGTTTCGGCTTTATTTTCTATGTTCGAATTGGCTTCCGTTGAGAGGGTGATGTTTAGATGTGTCGGTTACTTGAAACTTTAGTTCGAGAGGGAGCTCGGTGAACACATACATGAGGAAGAGATTGTTAAAAAAAGTACATGTGTATATTGTCCCACATGAAAATAGGTAAAAATGTGAAATGATTTATATACATAGAATAATTTAAGACTTAATAGATTAACTTTTTAGGTCAAATTAGACTCTTATAGTGTGTTAGGTCAGTTTTACATGTGAGGTCTCCCTAACACGCACTTGATGGGTTGTTCCCGAGCTAAGTGCGGGAGATTCCGAAGCCGTTGAAGGTGTTGTCGGCGGTAGAGGTGTGCAAGCGGCGGAGGGAAATGGCTAGAATGTTGTGGCATGCAGTAGAAGGCGATTGAGGTCGTGGAAGGAACCCAAAATTTTTTGGGTTTTCCAATCTTTTTTATTGATTCAAAATTTAATTCAATTTTTTCTTTTAAATATATTTCAAAGTCAATTTAAAAGTAGGATTTATATTCAATGGATCATAAAAATGGTTGGTCTTTTTTTAAGATTTCGTTTTTTCACATATGGGTTTTTGAGTTTTTTCATATTTTTTTTCTAGATCTGTAATTGTTTTTTTAATATAATTTTAATTTTTTTTTTCAAATAAAATGACCACTAAATGCCCTTAAGACTAGCACATAGGACATTCCGTTTAAAAATTTAACGCCGTCTTTAATTGGACCATAATTGTAAAGAATTTAAAACGTTAAGAGTCGATTGTCAAAAAAAAAATTAAAGACTAATTTGTGAATCGCGAAAAGCTGAGGGGTACCATGCAAAAAAGTAAAAAAAAAAAAAAATGAAAATTTAAAAACGACGTATTCTTTTTGAAACGATAGGTAAAAAATAAATAAAATTTTGAAACGACAACCTCCAACTTCGAAAAGAAAAAACCTCAACAACAATATTATGAAATTAAATACTATAATCACCTAAAAGAACAAGACCAACAGTTTAAAATGACAACAATTTATAATTTAAAAAAAAAACGAAGACCACATTGAAGACCACAATCAACTTTCAAAATGAGGAAAACAGACCTGAAAACGACAGCAACTTTTAAACGACATATACATTATTAAGGGGAAAAACATCGTTAAAGAAACGACGATTTGGTGAATTGCAAACTCAAAGCATTCTAAACATGTAAGACAACAATCAGTAGAACCTTAAAACAACAACTACTTTTACACGACATGTAGATAATAAAAACAAAAAAATAAAATAAAACATCGTTAAAGAAACGACAATTTGGTGAATCGCAAACTCAGCATTTACAGATTTTAACTTAGGAACACTCCATACTTTATATGCATGATCAGCCTTTATATATGCATAATAATCTATTTAAGTGACCCCAGATTTTTCTTTTTCTATATCTTTTTTCTCCTTGCGCTAGTGAAATGTCACCTGATTTTAAACCTTTGACGTCCTTGTGAATAAACACACTAGCTAGTGTACTCGAATAGCTGTAACTATATGAAATTTAAGTATGTTTTTTCACCATAGTACATACCATTCTAGTTTAAAAAAGAAGGGAAAAAAACATAAGAAGAAAAGAGGGAAATCTAAATTAATACAAATGAGTACAGAGAAATGATCAAGTCTGCTGAAGATCAGAGAGCTCCAAATCGCCTTCCGCATTCCACACTTTGGTCCAGTATCTTCTTAACATCGTATTTGTACTCAAACCCCAACTTCATCAGCTTCGTGAAATCATATGTAGTTCCTCTCTCTGGCCCTTCTAAGAATCTGTAATGATTAATTAACCATATATTCACACGTTTCTAGCAAAAAAAACAAAAAAAAACCATATATTCACATGTATATAAACATGCATGGATTTCATGCATGTAATACATGTGCAAGTTTCAAGGGAGTTGACAGTAAACATATCATATTTATGATCCCTATTCGAATTTAGAAATGAAGTTAAAATTTAACTTGAGTTGGGTCAAAACTTAAATAAATAAATAAATAAATAAAACGTTAAAAGGGTAATTCATTGTTATTAAAAGAAAAGGTTAGAGAAAATTTTTGAACTTACCGTATAGTTCTGAGCTTTTACTCTTGATTAATACTTTTTAATTAATATAGTTCTTTGGCTAAAAAGATATTAATTAAGAATAATGGGTAAAAATCTAAACTCATGTACTCTAAGAGGTATTTGTCTCTTTTTCCCTTAGAGTTATGAAAATTTGAAACCTCACCATCCAAGTTGTGTATAAATTAGATTCTCAAAAGTTATATATATATTTTTTTCGTTGCTCTATGAAGGTAATTTGGCATTAAACATAAGAGAATTTTAGTAGGGTACAAAATATACCTTACTAACATTATGCAATTTCAGATTGTTAGATTTTAACTATGTTTCCACCAAATTTATAATTTTTTTAAAAAAAAATTCTAATATGATTCTCATGTGCTCTAAAAATTCAAAATTGTGTTGTTTTAATAGGATTCTTTTTTAAACCTTAACACACAATTCTAATTCCTACCTAAAAAGTATTGAGGCAAAAATGAGTAAGATAACATCTTCCCTAAAAATGAAAATGAGACAAGAAATAAAGTGAGTAGATCATATTCACATCTTACCCTTTTGCAATCTTGTACTCAGGGAAATTATCTTGGAAGTGAAGTCCAATTCCTTTTACAGTAGGGTTGGCAACTGCACAGAAGAACCTGCCTTTCATTGATGGTCTTTCCATGCAGAAGATATGGACCCTACAAACATCTTCAATGTGCACAAGAGGAATTGAACCAGTAATTTCTTGCAAAAATTCAAATGCTTTATACAAATCTGAATTCCCAATTAGTTGTGAGCAAATCACTTCCAATGTCAAGGACAAGTACGGAAGAAGAGTGTCTCCTCCCACCCCACCGCAAGGAAGTGTAACCACTTCTAGTTTACTGTTTTCTATTTCATTGTACTTCAACACTGCTTTCTCAGCTAACGTCTTTGATCTAGTATATGCCTAATAACACATAATTGCAAATAGAAAAAAGAGGAAGAAAAAAGTGTCAAATACAAAAAACATTAATAATTCTAGGATTTCTATATTAAGTTTCACCATCAAATTATACCACAATCAAACATTATGCAAATCTGATGAGGTAAGAGATATTCACTACTATTAAGATATATTTTTTGTACTCAACCACTAAATAGTTTCCTAATTAAATTTTAGGAAATTATTCATATGCTAATTATTATGTTCATTTTGCATCAAATTGTTCAAATTTATATGATATTTTTTTTAATGAAGAAAAGTCTGGAGAGGGGCGACAAGCTTTACTGAACCCCCTTTCTAGACGTGGCAGGACTGTTCACTGAAGTTCTTATAGGTTGATCTTATTCTTAAGATGAGAAGCGTATTCACCTCAACACTACCGAATATGTTAATTAGTTTTTAAGCATACTAATTTTCACTAAATTAGTCAAATTTATATATATATATATTTTTTTTCATGAGAAAAAGTTAAGGAGCAACAAGAAGTATTAACGTAACCCTCTTGAGTAATATTAAAATGGCTCTCAAACGTTGATAAAAATGTTCGTTAAAAGTACAAGTGGCCTTAACGGCCTTAACGAGGAGTAAGTCACCCCAATTTTTAATGTGCTAAATGATAAGGATACGTGAGGATATATAGTATTGATCCTTGATATGATTGGACTTATCTTATAAAAATTTAAATCTAAAATTAAAATAATTACCAAAGTAGAATCAGTGCCACAAGTAAAGGGGTGGTCAAGAGGAGTCCAACAAGACTCATCAACGCAGGACCACAGTCCATTTCCGCCTTCGATCAGCTGCGACGACGCCATGATACTTGCGGTGTAGATCAGCCGCTTGACGGTCTGTGATCGAATGCACGATTCAGCAATAACCCCCACCCCAGCAACAGCAGCTTCAGTGGTGTCTTTGTACTGCATGTATATGCACACAAATAATGATTATAAAAAATTATATAGATGTATATCTATGTATCTATATATTTGTACTAATGTTAAAGAGATTAAAGAGAGCGACCTGATTGCTCTGAGTGTTGTGTTGCATTGGGGTGGCAACATGTAAGACAAATTCACACCCTTTAATTGCAGGCTCAAATTCTATAGGATTGTAAATATCTGCTTCGAACAGAACAAGTTTGCTTTCTGCGTTTGGGAGAGACTTCAAAAGGCCTACTTTTGATGCATCTCCTGTAAAACCAGACTTTTTGCAATACCTTAGGGACCATATAATTAATCGCTATATACATATACATATATATATACATATATATATATAGAGAGAGAGAGAGAGAGAGAGAGGGAGAGAGAGATGTAGATCACCTAAGTTCCTGAGAGTTGCATGGACAGTGTAACCATTCTCAAGGAGCATTTTGACGAGCCAAGAACCAATGTAGCCGGAACCCCCAGTAACACAAACTCTGCCCTTTTGATTTGTCATCTCCATAAATGATTTTCTTTTGCAGACTTCAATTAATTCGAAGCTAGCAAAATCCTTCCTTTTCTTGTTATTTCTATATATACATAGAGCTCGGCGATGTACCTCCCCTCACTCAAATTTTTTAATTTCTGCGTTATTGTCCAAAAAATATAATTGACGTTCGCTCGCAATTATTTTTTTTCTTCCATCCGTTTTTTTTTTTTTTTTTTTGGTCTTCTTTTTTAAGAACATAAGAGCCAAATATCCTAGATAAGTAGTTCTTTTCTTAGTTTCTTCATAAGAGCCAAATATCCTAGATAAGTAGTTCTTTTCTTAGTTTCTTTTTGACGAAAAGTTCTTTTCTGAAGTACTATGGCTCGTTTATTTCGTCGATTCAAGTTTAGAATTTGAGTTTTGCTATAGTAAAAAGCTCTTAGAAATAATCACATCTAACTTTTTTACTACAGTAAAAAGTTCTCACATAAAATTACATCTCAACTCGAATTACAAACTCGAATTAGTAAAGTGAACGGGCCTATTATTATTTTGTTTTTTTTCACCCTTTTTTTGACTTGACAGATACCAAACTCCAAAAGTGAAAGGGCGCGTCTAGCCCACAAAAGTGAGAAAAATGCCAGCCGCTAACGTGGCGTCCCCTGCACTCAATTGTTTTTTTAAAAATTTATTATCTGCATGTATTTGATGATAATTGACCAATATTTCTTAGTATTAAAATTCTACTGTATGACTGTGAATTCTTTTCACCACCATATTGTTTACGGATCTTAACATTGCATATTTTGTCCTCAGGGAGATTCTCCCATAGACCGCTCTATTAATAGTTTAAGTTTTTAATTGTTAGAAGTAATTAAAATTATATTATATTAAAAAATATATATTTTAATATAAATCTAACAGTTAAAAAATAAAAAATTATTAATAAATTTTTTTTTTTTTTTAGAAACTGTAAGAAAAACTCTCGTGTTCTAAAAAATTTCAAATTTAAAACTATAAGAATATGGGACGCGATCAAATGTGAAAGGGAAAAAAAGAAACATTTAACGTTGTTGTCTTGGTTATTATTAAACTGTTGTATTTTTTATTTGGTTAGGAGATCTGCTTTGGTTCAAATTATTACTAAAAGTAGTCTAAATTTCAACTGAGGCGTTACTTTAATTTTAATTAAAAATATATACATGTTTAGTTTGTTGATTTGAGTTGAAATGTGATTTTATGTGAGAATTTTTTACTGTAACAAAAAAATTAAATATGACTGTTTTTTAGAGATTTTTACTGTAACAAAACTCAAATTCTACAGGGGCAAGTATAGCTGGTACGATCCATTTTAATTTCTTTTTGGCCATTGATGGAGAGTGCTAGTGAACATAGCTTGTCATGTGTGCAAGAGCTATTTCGCATGCAATGCAAAACAAAAGGAAGCAAAATAAAGTGATACGGCACAAATGAATAAATTGTTATGAATATAATTGTCTACTTTAGTCAAATTTATTATGCAAGTCAGTCAAAATGCTATTCGCGTCAGAATTTTATTGTATAAATAGTAACCGTACATAGTAAATATTATGTAAATAGTAATTGTAAATAGTGTCAAAAATTTTCTTATAAATAAAGCTCTAAGACTCTTCATTTTGTACACCTTCACAAGATTAATAAAACTCTCTCCCTCTCTAGTTTCTCTCTCCAAGGTATGTAAATGCACTCTATTATTTTATATTTGTAAGGTCTGTTTTTGTGGCTGATGTCACAGAGAGTGTTATAACACTTTACTGTAACATTGTTTTAACAGAAAAATTAAAATTAAACCAACAAAACATCAATGCAGGAAAATAATGCAGAAACATAAAGGACACCAGAGAATGATATCGCAATTCGGTGCGCACACCTACATCTGCGGGGCCACACCCAAACAGTGATCAATCCACTAAGTTCAAAAGATTACAAAGGACCGAACGATCGTACACACTCAACGACTCCCTCCTTGACAATGTCGTTGTTGCCTAGAATCTCCTTAGGAAGCTTGATCAGCGAGCACCACTCGACTTGACGGTTTTTTCCCGAAACTAAAGAAATCTTCTCACGAAGAACCAACTCGAATGTGTTCTAACAATTCGTCGTAACACATCAAACGACACTTAACATTACAATCTCATTCTAACATGAACAAAAATATCTTTTCTGTTTTCAGCACTCTCTCTATTTCAAAAACAAAACCTGCACTTCACGTTCTGCCATTCCACCTTAATTCGACCTGCCTCAAGCCTCAAGATCACCAACAATCAATTCCCCAAAAGTCCACACTTGATTTTCAGCAATCAAGTCTTTTGATTTGCAGCCATTAAACATGACAGCAAGACTTTCCTTAAGAGGACCATCAAGTTACAATGCCAGCCAATCTTACAACCAATTTGTTAAAAATAAGCTAACACAAAATGCACTAACAATATTCATAAAAAAAAGAAGGCTATGCCACCAACGTATTATAATTTTTATAATTTTGTCGTTATACACCATTCGAAAGGTTTACCGAGTAGTTTGGCGTGTTTGTATTCTCATAAATGGACTACTAGCTATGCCGCCTGTAGGTAGTAATTTTTTATTGCACTTTCTACATGTATATTACTATTCTCATCTGTTTATTTTTCTACACCATTTGAGGTATACAATTGTAATTCTTTTTCCACTTCTAATGGTAATATAACTTATTTTTACACCACTATTAACGGCTAGTTTTTATTTTATGAAATGTGGATTTCTTAACCGATACAATTCACTTCTCATCTTCTCTTCACCCTTTTTAATATTTTTATCTTTCACTTCTCATTTTCTCTTCACTATTCTTAATATAATCCTCACAATATGGCGAATATGATGATGATGTTTGTTATTTTTGTAGTCATTTTCTATATTTTTACTCTTTTTATTGGAGATCATTCTCCATACGATTTTTAGTTTTTCTTTGCAAAACTCATACTTGTAATATTTTCTCTTTTATTTATTGCTATTATGATTAACATGTAATTTTAATTGCACTCTCTGTTGCAATAATAATACTGCAATTCTTATTATATCGATGTTCTGTTATAATTATTATCATGTTAAATCTTGCCAAACTTGAGTTCGTTGCACTCGACATCATGAGAAAGAATTGTATGTCTTGAATCATAGATGTAGAAATGCATCTAGTGTCAATGGGCCTATCCGATACCATTAAAGAAAATAATAATAAATCACCACAAAAAAAGGTAAAAACAATGATTTTCCTTCGTAAACATCTTGATAAAGGCTTAAAATGTGAATATCTCACGATTAAATATCAATTTGTTATTTGAAAAAGTCTGAAGGAGAGATACAACCACTAGAAAGAAGTATTTCTGGCCAATCGCGATGAGTGGAACAATTTACGTTTCCAGGATTTTAAGAAAGTTAACGACTACAACTCTGCCATGTTCAAAATTGTTTCACAATTGAAATTTTGTGGAGTAAATATCACAGATGGTGAAATGCTAGAAAACCTACTCCACTTTCCATGCATTTCACATTACCTTGCAACAACAATACCGTTTGCATGGTTATAAGAAATTTTCTGAGCTAATCTCAGCTCTTCTTGTGGCAGAGAAAAATAATGAATTGTTAATTAATAATCACCAGTCCTGTCCCACTGGTTCAACGGCATTTCAAGAAGCAAATGTTGCATTCTCTAAAAAAATTTAGGACAAGAAAATATAATCGTGATCATGGTCATGGCCGTAGTCAAGAACACGGTAAAAGTGGTTATTACAACCCTTTAAGGAATGATATAATCCAAAAGAAACATCATGATAAACGAGAAGATGTTAATGAAAGTTCTTTCCAGAATCCAGAAAGTTCTTGTTATAGATGCGATACTAAAGAATAACTGGCATCAAATTTGTCGCGCACCACAATACATTTGTAAAATTTTTAAGGCATCTCTAAACGGGAAAGAAAAGAAAGTCAATTTTAATGAACACCACGACCCTATCAATTACTTAATTCATCTTGACATCACAGACTTACTAATGATCTTGTTAAAGGTATTATTGGTAATATATATATATATATAAATATATAAATGTGCTCGAACGTGTTGATATTGTACTTGATTTTCATGAAGGTTGTGTTATGACCTTTTGAATAATTTCACGAAATATTATGATATTGCTATCTCTTTGTGTGAAAATATGATATGGAAGGAATCGATAAATAGTACCTGAGATTAGTACTATACATATGAACAGTAACATACTTGTGAATAATACCTATGAATAGTACCATACTTATGAATAGTATTACAACATATGTTTTCATTTCATTTTAAATTCAGTTGTATATTTATTTGTGATCTTCTAATCATAAATTAACTTCTTTATAGATTAATCTCATATTCTCGAGTTTTATTAATGTCGAAAATATTTACATACAAGATAGTGGTACAACGTACACTATTTTTAAATATAAGATCCTGTAGACCTTATTAAAAATAACATAAAATATATATACATATATATCTTACTACTAAGAGTGCATAGTAAAAAAATTACAAATACTTTCTTCTTAGTTTTGCATTTTCTTAATTTTCATAACATAAATAAATAAATAAACCTCGTTAAAAGGACAGAAACACCATACCATAATCATAATAATTTTAAAAGTATAATAATGTTACGGAATTTAATAAAAAAACTAACGATTAAAAATTGCCCGATATTAATTCTCCAACAGCGAGAGAGAGAAGAGGTCAACAAGGGGCACCTTGCTCGACCTTAAGAGCCAGATGCTAAAGAGTTATACTCACGGGTCAAGCTATGACCTCACGAAAGTTAGTCTACAATCTGACTCTTATTAAGGCCTAAAGAAAACACCTATATTCACTATGTTAAATCAAGTGTGAACAGACAAATAGAAATCTAAGGTCCCGTTCATTTCACCGATTGAGTTTAGAATTCGAGTTTTACTACAGTAAAAAGTTATAAAAAATAATCACATCTAACTTTTTTACTACAGTAAAAAGTTCTTACATAAAATCACATCTCAACTCGAATTAAAAACTCGAATCAGCGAACTAAACATGCCTTAATTGTACAAGAACATGCAATGCACAGTTTGACGAAGATGGGCTCCTTTAAAAAGCCTTAAAAAAGGTTCTCTCTTTCATTATTTATACCTCATTATTTCAAAAAAGGTCACAATATTTGTCGGCAGATTACACCTAAATTATGCATGGTTTTGACCTTTGGTTTCACTGTAAACACCTCTGAGGCTTTAGGTCTATAAAAGAAGGAAAGAAAAATGAAAACACAAGAATCTGCAGGCATGTTAGTGATTGGTGAAGTCCCAATTCCTTCCTTTCGCTTTCTCAATGATTTCAAATGAGCTGTTAAAAATTTAGTCAATTACAATTATGAAGCATAAATGCAATATAAGACAAAAATCAGGACAACTTGAACAAGTGTAAGAAATCTCTAATCTAAGAGTTTTCATATTAAGCTTCATGTAGTTGTTATAGAAATTAATAATGTGTACAAGCAAATCAGAAAAACCACGGCATTTGGACGGCTGTTTTAAATGACAATAATATACACGAAAGACCACAGAGAGAGCATGCCAAAGAGAGAACGCCGGATACTTAAGTGGTGGGTTCAAGTGCAGCTTGTTCGTGCCAAACACCGTTCAAGTTAGACTGCCACAACCTAACTTTGCCATCGCTTCCGGAGGTTGCCAAGGTCATTCCACTCATATCCCATTCCATCTGCCACATCTAACCATAGAAGAGAACATGACATCAATACGCCACCACCTTTCCTTACAAAGTAAAAGCAAGCAAATATTCTAATCCAAGAAGCTCCGTTTGCCACTTTCAAAAGAACCTTTCCATCAAAATTCATTCGTAGTTTCCATTTTCATACTTCCATATCAATAGGCGTACATGTGTTTGCATGAGATGCGTAACTACTATATGTATGTCCACATGGAAGTATTGTTGAAAATCCGATTAAATAAATGATCTTGTGCTTCCAAGTGATTTGAAATAGAAGATATTTTATTCTCTAACATTCATTATGTCAGCATATGTTGTCAGTCATTTAATATTTTAACCTATCTTCCTTAGCAAGTAAGATTACAATTATGAAAATTGGTTATTTTGTAAATATTGATACCTCGCCTGCGTGACCAGAAAGCAATGCAACTTGCTCCACTGAGAGCCTTCCATCTGTGTCAGGGATCAATCCAAGATGCCATAGCGCTATTGCCTTGTGGGTGGCGACAGCAATTACCTCATATGGCCTGATTATTAAGAATAGAGTAATGTATTATTGATAGCAAATGGCTTCATTTTACTTTTCCTTTTACCAACAAAACAAACCTAGAATAATAGGGGCACGGCAAAGTCTCAATCTATTTGTTAGTTGTTACGTAATGAGCATACTACAGTGGACGACAAAATAAAATAAGATTTCCACTTGGCAATCATAATATATGGTTAGGAATTTTTCCCCTTTTTTTTAATAAGTAAAATTATAGCATTTCGTACCTGCCAATATTTGGTGCCCATGCAACAGAATAGACCTGATCTCCCTTGTTGCCAGGCAAAGCCAATTCTGCAACTGGAAGCCATCTTTGATGAGCCTGATCAAATTCCCATACCTGTTGAGAAATAACAAGGTTAACTGTGTTTAAAACTGTTGAAAACCAGTTGATGAGATTATTCTGGACGACAATTTTGATCCATGATCCACAAGTCACAAAACTTATGCCGCCAATATTATGCCAGAGCGTTTTTATGCTGAAAAATTAGTGGATAATAACGAAAACACTGCTAATCCTCACAACTCACTTCGAAAGGGCATCTCATGAAGAACAGACACAATGATGCATTTGTTGTTTCTAGAAGTTTAATGCATGTAGCCATTAACACAAAACGGAAATCGTAAAGCAAGGACAGAGGCAGGAAAGCATGCCTTGGAGGAATTAAGTTGTTGCGTATCTGAATTAAAACCCAAAACAAAACTTGATTCCTGGCTTTCACCTCTTTGTGGTTTCCATGAAATAGACGCAGACAAACACGATGCCTTACCCAACGTAGATACTGAGTCACTCACATTCTGAAATTCAGCCTGGCCAAAGTGGATTATTGAAAAGATATTTGTGTCAAGATTCTTTCCGCACTTTAGACTCAATTCCAGTTAAGTAGTCATTACAAATTCTACAAGCCAAGACAAAGGAAGACACTTTGCAGAGTACAAACCAAAAATTTGGTTTGGACATTGTTTTGCTTGATACAAACTGAATTCAAAAAACATTTTTCCAGCTTGTATAAATTAATGATAATCAGAAATCCTAACAAGAAAAGGGCTAGTTGTGACCAAATTTGATAAGATAATACCTGAAGTTGCCAATTCTTCAGTTCCAAGGGATCTAAGAGCTCATAGACTCTGATGTGGCCATCGGAATAAGCAGCAACCTATAAATAATTGTTCAGAGAATAAAAAACACTTGAACAGTACTACATAGTTAACGCACTGTAATGTGCCACAGAGCAAAAAAGCAACTTAACAGAAGAAAAGAATGTAAAAGCATAGTCCCCATTGAAATTGCAAGCAGCTAACATTGTTAAGTCACAGACGGTCATATAAAAAATGTACTATTTTGTTCTGACAGAAAATAATAATTTGCTGGATGCATTGCATAAAATCTCTTAGAAGAAATCAACCGGAATTGTACCATATCAAACGATAAGAAATCACAATCCCAACCATCACAAATCACATCTATTTAGTGCCACAAGCAAAATATATGAAATATAAGTAGAACAAAACAATAATCTGTTTAATCTCACCATTTTCAAGCCAGATAGCGAAACTCCAAATTGAACATCTAGCACTTGAGAAGAATTGCTTTTAAAGCTTTTGCAAAGCTTCCACTGAAGGGGTTGTGCATCTAAAAAAAACAATGACAAGCAGAAGAGAGTAATGACCGTCGCCAGTTACAGAAAATCTATTCGAAACATAATCTATCATCCGAGGTGATCGCTAAGTGCCTACTAAAAGCAAATACAAAATTTACAAACCCCAAGATAAAGTCTAGGCTTGAAATGGGCGCATGTGCTGAGTGTTAAACAAGAAGGTGAATCTGAATCCAATTAGTATTCATTACCTTCTACGACCTCCTCCCACAAAGACAAAGTTCCATCGGCACAAACACACGCAACTGCGTCGCCATATTCCGGAGGAATCCAAACAACCTTGACAATACCAGTATCATGTACCTAAAAGAGACAAAATGAAAGGAAAAGAAAATGAGGGAGGCCAATCCAAAATATGAAAAACACACACACACCAATGCAAATCAAACCGAAACGATTTTCATTACTCTATCTCTAATATACAAGAATATTAATGTTACAATGACAAGCTATTGAGAACTTATCAGAGGATCTATACAGGCCAATTGTGCAAAAATTGAGTTGGTCCAACAAAAATACTCAATGTCGACGCTTCATATGAATTACAAAACAGAGCTATTCGATATTTCCACAACACATTCAAGTGTTGCCAAAATCTTTACAGTTCAATAATCAGAATCTCAAATCAAGTTCTTCGGACGAAAATCAAATTACTTGCAATCAGCATTCCACTAAATCGAGGCTGTAAGAGTCAGATTAGAAACTCAGCAAAAATCAAGAATCCCGTTCAGACTAAATTGCAATTTCCCATGAAAACCAAACACGTTCACCAGCCGTTCCAGAAAATGCGGCAATGGGAGAAAAACGGAAGAGCTAGGGTTAGTTCGAACCCGGGATTTGGAAGAGCGAGTGAATGACGAAGAAGCAGAATCGCGCGCGTCGAAGATGGAAAGGAAGCCATCGGCCGAACCGGCGGCTAATCGCTGGCCGGAGTAGTTCCAGGATGAGCAGGTGGTGCCGTTTTCCAAATCCACCAAAGATTTCTCCATGTCCGTACAGCTTTTCTGAAGCTTCTGATACGCTGCAACAGCACTCCGACAAGGTAGGAGCTTAAACCTCGTTTTAGGGTTCTTCTTCTAGCTTAAACACCACACGTCGTTTCTTGTTTAAAGTTTGCTTTCTTCTTGGAAATCAGAAAACGACAAATGATTATTATAATTTCAAAATATATATGTCCTTTCAATATATATATATATATGTCGTTTTTCGTTTAATATTGCTTTCTTCTTTAAATTGAGAAAACGACGAATATTTTGTTGTGGATTAGTAGCCTAGTAGATTTTCAGTGTTGGCCATGGCTAGAGATCGAGAGGAAAGAAGAGGAAGTTTGGAGGGTTTAATTTATTTATTTTTATGTTTTAGTTATAAATTATATTAAACTTCCCCTCGAAACAAAATTATATTGAACTTAATTTTTTAGTTAATTAGTATTTTAAAATGTCATTTGAATACATTATAAGTATAATTAAGAGGTTTTAAACATAAAAAAGTAAAACTTTTTCAACTTTATTTTTTTAGTTAATTAGTATTTAGTATTTTTGAATGTCGTTCGTACACATTATACATATAATTAACATCTAAAAACAAAATCCTTTTAAACTTATGCTCTCCAACTTTAATCCCTTTTCATTGCATGAATATAGAAATGAAAAACACTTCATATAGAAGGATGATTTGCTAACAAACATTAATGACACTCGACAAACTAAAGAAAAACACAAATAAACAACATAATCCTTAACTCATAATTAAATCCTAGTTTTTTTTTGTCCCTCTCATTTTATCAATTCTCGTGGCTTTTCCAAATCTGAACAACCTCCGCAAGGGATTTGGTAGACGATCCTTCATCGCTCAAAGCCATTTTTGCCGATTCCTTGAGCTCCTTCATTTTGTTCCTCAGCAACTTTCCTTCTTGTCCCTCCATTAACTCTTTCGCGTACTTGGCAATCTCTTCGCGACCCACAATTCCTTTGTCGTTTGCCTTTACCCTTAAAGCCACTCTCAAATCATCAGCCAAGAAAACGGCGTTCATTCTCTGCTCTGCGTAGAGAGGCCAAGCAATCAAAGGCACGCCATTGACGACGCTAAATAGTCGAATGGGTTTTTGGTGCTTTTGAGGCTGAAGAAAGCCGCGTCCGCAGATTTCTCATTTGGGCTCTTGAGAACCCAAAGAAATCTTTGGCCACTCGTTTCAAGCCCGAAGGCGAGCTCAGTCAACTGAGCTTGAGTGAGGGTCCCACCACTTCCAAATGAGACGAACATCACTGACCCATTGGGTTGCTTGTCCAACCAACTCAAACACTCGGGTTCGTCTGACGACCCATTACGTGAACCGGTATGTATCATCGGTCCAACCGGGTAAACCGACGGGTTACCGTGGATCCTTTCCTTTAGTGCCTTGAAAGTACCCGGTTCCAACTCCATAAAGCTGTTGACCATAATCCCAGAAGCCAGATTGTACCGGTCCGCCATACGAACGAATGATTTATAGATCTCGGTCTTCCTATTGTGAAGTGGGCTGAAAAGATCGCGTCCTTTAACCGGTGTACAACCCGGTAAACTGATCGGTTCAGGCAAGTCTCGGTACTCGGAGGAAGTTATGGCGTCAAGCTTAGGCAAGTAGAAGAAAAACGACAACACCATCGCTGTCGTAGGGAAGAAAATGTAGGGCGGGATACCGAGTTCTCGAGCGACGTCAAAGGCGCTTGGACCGAACACATCTACTACAAGAGCCACCAAGCGAGTTGACTCGGCCATAATGGCCTTGAGGGACTCGCGTAGAGCAGGGAGGGAGCGAGTCAAGGTGAGTTCAATGCGAGTTTCAATGACACTGTCCTCGGTGAGGTCATCAAAGTTCACCGGCGGAAGGAGGACGTATGAGATGGGTTTCGGGAGGGATTGGAGGAGCTTCTTTTGGAGTTCCATGGACGAGCCATCATTAGGGACAATGAAGATTATGGCAACTTCATGGTGGACGACAAGTCGTTTTGCAAACTCAATGAGTGGGAAAAGATGGCCCATTCCTGGTGTTGGGACAATGGCAATGTGGGGAACTGATGAGTTCTTTTGGGTGCCTTCCATGGCCGAAGTCTAAACTAGTCAGTGATAATGTGGAGATTTTTTGAGCTATAACTACTTCTATGGATTTTTGTGTGGATGACTCATCTACTATGTTGCCCACCTATATATTATCCATGTTTGAGATTGATCCCAAGCAAAAGAAAAAAAATATTGTATTTAAGGTATTACCAAAAGTGGCAGATTCGTATTGTTTTTATTTAAGGAAAGAAGCAATTTATGTTCTTCATCTTTAGTTGGTAGGAAATCTTCACTAAGTATGCCAACATTTGTCCACGTCCAGAGTCACCATTTTGCATTAATGCATACTTATCTAAATGGTTAGGAAGAGAATCCAGTACGTTTAACCCAATCAATAATTTGGATATTTCCACACACAAAATGGAAAATCTTTAATTTGGATACCTTATTGTACTACTTATGTCCAAGAAAATAGCAGTTATATGTGAGGGTGTTGGGGTTCTTCATTTCCTCTTCGACTTTAGTATTTTTAGATTTTTAGATATTGTTTTGTGATGTGATAAGAGAAGATAATGACCTTCAAAAAAAAAAAAAGGATAAGATAACCTTTTTTCTCCTACAGAAGAAAAGGGAAATAATCAAAATCTTTTTTATTCCTTCAATTTTTTTCTTCTCTCAAGTGAAACTCTATTGGCCGGTTTCTTTTTCTTTTTCAGTCATTGCGAATATTTTTTACTGTCTCGTTAGATGAGTTAACTACAATTTGCAATCTACCAACAAAAAAAGAAGAAAAAAAATTGAACTAAAAGTGGTAGAAAGCAATATGGAAAATTGGAAATGCACGCCATGCATGAATGGCTGAGAAGGGAAACGAGTAAATTGATGAATGCTTGTTCTAATGAGTTTTTTTTATTTTATTTTAAGTGCTAATTACGAGTGATTTGGATACTCATGCTCAATAACTTAAGAATAAGGCAATGTAGGTATAACATTTTTTTTAAAAAATAAAATAAATTTCCACTATTTTTTTTTTTTTTTGGCCGAAGATTTCTAAAAGATGGTTATCGTATTCCCTTCTTTATTTCATTTCAGACATCTAAATTAAGTTAAACAAAGATATTTTAATAACAAAGCTAGCCACGTTGAGCACTTCTAAAAGTTTTAATCATGTCCAGATGTATCAACATTTTATCGGCTAAAAGATACCCTCAAACAAATGTCAACTTAAGAGTAATAGATTTTGAGTATGAACGAAGCTATATAACATTTTCCTTATGTTATAGGTTCACTGTTTTTATACCCACAACCTACTAGCTAGGGTTGTGATCCCATAATCATTTAGGAATAAACAAACTATATATGCAAGAAACACCGGGTACTATTGTACATCCAAGTACTTTATGGTACACAAAAAAAAAGGTACTTATGGCACTAAAGAAAGGTTATTATTATTATCCGTACGAAGAATGACATTCAATAACGATATAATAATGGTATATATGTGATTTAAGGTCGGTAACATGAGTCACGACACGATAACATAACTTAAAAACGATACGAATTTTGAGGGTTGTGGTTGAGAAAAAAGAGATTCGAGTCAGAATTGGGTCGGCTTGAAATTGACACGAAAAACACGAGTCAATTTCAGGTTGGACTAACCTAACGCGAACACGACACAAAACTCGTAAAAAAACTAAAAAATATTTTTTTTTCATTACATATTTTAGATTTTATTATAAATTTGTGATATCATGATAGTTCTACTAAAAAACTTATACTGTTATTTGCTTAATTTTGATAGATGTTATTCTATATATTTTAGCGTGTTATGAATTTTAAGTTATTTCTAATATGTAAAAAATTAAAAAAAGTATATAATTTTCGTGTCAATTTCGGATTCACGGGTCAATTTCATGTCACATGTCATTTTCGTGTCATGTCGTGTTCGTATTGCGGTATTTAAAATATTTCATATCACAGATCGTGTTCGGATTGACTATAAATTTAAGATTATTAAATTCGCACAAACCTTTTTAAAATTTATTATTTTTCTGTTGACGAATTTTCACTGTCAACATTAATCTTTCTCTCTGTGTTTTTTTTTTTTTTTTTTTTTTTGGCATTTAGTTCTTGGAATTCATCAAACTGCTGCATAATTAGAGTTTTTCCATCATTTTCCCTTGATTTGTTATTTGGTAAATCAACCCTTAAATGTTTTATGACATTTTATCCTTGAACTTAAAAATGTGTCGCAACTCTGATCGGTCACAGTATTAAAAGTTAGCCATTTTTTTCCGCATGACCAGCAGGTGGACTTTTCTTGAAAAAAATTTAGAAGAATGTCCTCCAATTATAAGATGGCATAAGGATTTACGTCCTTTGTTAAAGACTACAATTTAAAATTTTTATTCTCATTATCCTCTTTCATATAATAATTTAAGAGTGGCGGAATTCTGTGAGAATTGTACAAAACTTCAGTGATTATTATAAATGGTTGTTGTTATTTTTGGAGTATATATCTCTTAAGCGCTTATTTGAAAGAGACTAATTTTTATAAACTATAAAACAAAATCACATATTCGAGGCATCCACAATGTGTATTAGCTATCCATAGAAATACTTGAAATATTGCACGTCCATTTCCATCACAAGTATGACCTATATATATTCATCTCCTTATCACTATAAAACAAGTTCACATATTCGAGGCATCCACAATATGTATTAGCTATCCATAGAAATACTTGAAATATGGCACGTCCATTTCCATCACAAGTATGACCTATATATATTCATCTCCTTATATCGGATAGTGTCTCTAGTGCATGATGATAAACTTACATATTAGATAAGAAAATAACATTATCAACTAAAGACAAAATTATATTAGACCTTAACGTCTATCACCTCTCACTTAGACCGCTAGTTAACTTTCTTAACTTTGTTAAGAGTAAAATATTTGAGTTTCACATCGTTTAAATACAAATATAATCACAGTCATAAAAAGATATTTGGTCATCTTACTTAAACATGTTAACTTTTTAAGAGGAAAGCCCAATATTTTATAAGATGCAGTTCTTCTCCCTCACTTGTCTTTCCGTCTCTCCTCAAACTCTAATAAACTCTTTTTTCTAATGGTTCGAATCATTTCCTTTCTCGATAGATAGTTGAGGCTCAATATAAGCGAGTGAGAAAGAATTCAGTAATTCAGTAGAAACATTAACATTTTGTGAAAAAAACAAAAGAAATATTAATCACTACTCATTATAGAGAAGCTAACAATTTTTGTTAGTTTACTAAATATTGTTAACCACAAGTCGTGATAATTTATGATACTATGATTTTTATTTTTTATTTTCTCTATCGCATTATAAGTTACATCACATTTGAACAAGATATTTTTTTGACATTTTTTATGTTTGTATTCGTTTAAAAATTTAATTTGACAATTCTTGCCATCTTAAAGTAAATTCGTAATTCTTATGAAGGTGACGGCGACTCCATGGTGGACAACAAGTCTTTTGCAAAAAAGTTGGTGAGAAGGTTTGGATTAACGATAACTGATTAAGACGTGCTCACCAATATGTATCCACATTTGTAATTTATGCCAACCAAAATAAGAAATCTTGTATTTAAACTATTGCAAAAAATGGCAGATTCGTATTGATTGTATTTAGGGAACGCAATTCATGTTCCTGATCTTTAAAATTGATCTTTGATGAGTAGAATATCCATCACTAAATATACCAACGTATGCCTTTTGTTTTACTCTGGCCAACGTATATTTATATACAGCTATCTTTTTAGGCCATATTTGACGCATCAAACTGGATAGAATTATAATGTCATGTTTGATTAGACATTTGTTCTAGACTATCCTATGTTTGGGAAACTGTCGGATTAAGTGTCTAGAAAAGCAATCTAATATATGATATATGGTGAAATTCAGTTAAATTTAATAAATAAAAGTCTATTTTAAAAACAAAAATAAATTTAGTAACTTAGATTTCACTATTTTTCCATTAAAAAATAAATAAATAAAAAAACGTAGCACCATCGAGTTTATTGTTGTTATTATTATCATCATAGACATATTGATATGGCAATCTATTCTTAAGGCTGGCAATTATTCACCCACACTTGAGCAATCTCCGCAAGTGATTTGGTAGAAGACCCTTCTTTGCTCAAAGCCAAACAAGCCTTGTCTTTCAATTCTTTCACTCTCGCCCTTATCAACTTCCCTTCTAATTCCCCTTCCATCAACTCCCTCACACGCCCACTAATCTCTTCACGCCCCACCAAGCCTTTATCGTTGACTTTGACTCTAATAGCCACTTTCACGTCATCAGCTAGCAAAACCGCGTTTGTTCTTTGCTCAGCATACGAAGGCCAAGCAATTAAAGGCACCCCATGAACAATGCTCTCAAGTGCTGAGTTCCAACCGCAATGTGACAAGAACCCGCCGGTCGAACCATGGCTCAGGACCTGAACCTGCGGTGCCCAAGTGCTCACCACCAAACCCACATCTTTGGTCCTTTCCAAGAACCCTTTTGGTAAGTAATCAAAAGGGTCTTCATTGCTCTCGACGCTAAAGAAACGCGCTGCTGTTTTCTCATGTGGGCTTTTCGCAACCCAAAAAAACCGGGCTCCACTCATCTCAAGGCCCAGGGCTAATTCGGTCATTTGGTCTTGAGAGAGGGTCCCACCGCTACCAAATGAAACGAACAGAACCGACCCTTTTGGCTGCTTGTCCAACCAGCTCAAGCACGGATCAGAAGAGGATGAACCGGTCTGAACCACCGGTCCGACTGGGTAAACCGGTGGGTTATTGTAGAATCCTTCTTTCAAAGCCTTTAAAGCACCCGGTTCCAAATCAAGAAAGCTGTTTACTATGATCCCCGCAGCCTCATAAGACCGTTTAGATATGTTAAGGAGCACTTTATAGATCGTATGCTTTCTGTCTTGAGCCGGGTCCCCGAGATCTCGTCCATGGACCGGCACGCACCCGGGCAATTTGACCGGTTTAGGCAAGTCCTTGTACTCGCACGTTGTCGTTTCGTCAAGCTTCGGCAAATGAAACGCCAATGACAACACCAAGGCATTGTAAAATGTGAACATGTAGGGCAAAACATTAAACTCTTTTGCCACATCAAAGGCGTCTAGACAGAACATATCAACGACAAGAGCCACCAACCGAGTTGACTCGGTCAAGGCCTTCAAAGACTGTCGTAGAGCCGGGACGGACCGAGTCACACTGAGTGCGATCCGAGTCTCGTTTACCGAGTCAGCAGGAAGGTCGTCGAAGCTCATTTGGGGAAGAAAAATGGAGGATATCATGGGCTTGGGTAGGGCTTGAAGGAGTTTCTTTTGAGGTTCCATGGTTGAACCGTCGTTTGGGACGATGAAAGTGACGTTGATGTTGTGGTGTACGACGAGTCGTTTTGCGAGCTCGACTACTGGGATTAGATGACCCATGCCTGGGGATGGGAATATGGCTACATGGGGTGGTTTCTGATCTTGTGATCTGAATGTACTACTCTTTTCCATGGTGTTAACAAGTTTTGTTTCTCTTTGGTTAACGAGAAAGAGAGGCAGGTGGAAAAGTTTTATAGACCCAGAAAGTTACCTTTTCTTATTCTTCGTTTCAGTTTTCTGAGAAAATTAGGCAGAAGAAAGAATTGTGAAAGGCAGTCCAAAAACAGAACGGATTTCCAAGTCTTCTGTGAAACAGAAAATTTGATTAAACTACGTGTTAACGAATTTTGAAAATCTGTATCAAACCAATGTACTTTCTCAGTTTGCTAACTTCTCTCGTGATCATTTCTCAAGTGTTACGACAGCAACGTCAAATCCGTTACTATCTTACTACAACAATAGTGAACAATTCTCACTCAACCATTCTATAACTTGATATTGGCTGCCATTCTATAACTTGATATTATTAACGTACTGCCAGAATCCAAATTGATATCTCTCTCCTCTCTGTGTCAATGTTTGTTTTTTTTTTTTTTTTTTTTGTGGAAAATAGTAAAAAATAGGCCAATATGAAAAGTTTAGAGAAAATATATAAGCCAATTTTTAGTTATAGAAATTAATAGGCCATAACTTATCAAGTTATGGTTCATAACCAGATAAGTTATGGACAAACTTGTTAAGTTATGGTTCATAATCAGACGAGTTATAGAAAATTATAGACAATAACTTATCAAGTTATGGTTCATAACCAGATAAGTTATGGACAAAAATAATAATTTGGCATATTTATTAACTCTCATAAACTATTGGCCTATTAATTTTAATTCATCTCAAGTCTTGACATATTTCTCTCTTTCTTTTTTTTTTTCTTCTTGTTCTTGGTGGGGCCCAAGTAATGTTTAATGTGCATTGCACTTATATTGGGATGTCATGTTAGCATCTTGGTTTGCGTCATATGCATGAATCATGATGCAATTGCATAGGGTGAACTAGTGGAATACCACTTAAAATGATAAATTTGGGAGTTTACCGTAGCGTAGGTATATTTGCTCCATCGGTGGAGCATGTAAAATCCTTATTGACGGCACAACCTAATGGTGAGAGATGAGGCTACATGTACTAAATATTGTAAATAGGACAAGTCTATGGTGAGGGAACTATATTCCCCACTAGTAGAGTATAATTAAAGACCACTAAATTTGAATCCGATGGTAATAAAAGATGGAGTACCAAATTAAACTAAAGCCTCCCTCGCCAGATTACAAGATTTAATTCTTAAATAAAATAAAATAAAATAGAAAAAAAAGTAAACCCAAATCCATAGCCGCCATCTAGATCTTCCACCACGACACTCTCGCCGCCGCTGCTGCCGCCGCCTTAGATCTGCCCCCACCATAGACTTACCCTCGTAAATAACTACACCATAACATAGCAGCCTAACTTTTTCTTACGCCAATTTTAGAAAGAATATTACCAAGAGGCTTTGACTATGATGTCAAAATATTATATTTTTTTACAATGGAACCCACTAATTAATTAAAAAATAGAATTTGCTTTTATTCTTTAGATTTCTTTCTAAGAAACGAAAAACACCTAATCAAATTTATTATTCATTTTCACGCACCTTCTTGCACCCATAATCGTTATTCTAATCATCTGACCTAAACACGTCGTGAATATTTTGTTCATGAATTCAGAATCATTCTCAATTTACGTGTGTTTTTTATGAGAGAAAATACTGTAACAAACCACGAACTATGATTCAAATCATTATACGAATACACTAACCAAGCGCACCTCTATCTCTCCTTTTGTTCCTCTGGTACCGTCTTCCCTTTCTCACTCCCCTTGTTCCTCTTGTTCTTTTTTCTGTTTTTGAGAAATACATCAATAAGCTGAGAAGAAAAGGTTTAATAAAACATTGATAAAAGGATTTAAATCTTTCTCTATTTCATGGGCTATTTCACGGGTTTCATATAATTGGTTTATAGTTTATGGGTACAGTTATTTAAGCATTTTGAACCTTTCATGAATATTGTTCCAAATAAGAATCTAGGCTGGTGATTAAGGGGAGGTAACGTAGTTCAAGACTCAGCCCATGAATGAGAGATCCGCAAATAAAACAACAATGTACTTTGCTATGTACGTTTGTACTTTCTCTGTTTTTTTAATTAAAAAAACTCAAAATAAGCAAAGTACGGGATCTCTTAGAGGCTGTTTGGTTGGGGATTCGTCATTTGATTCGAATCATGATTCGTGGATCGCTACAATATTTTCTCTCACAAAAAATACACATAAATAAAAAATTATTATAATCCATGAACCAAACGTCTCATATGTTCAATTTTTTTTTAATCTGATTCTTTATATTCTAGTTTGTCATTTATAGTTTTAAGGCATTATTTATTTTATGAGTCAAGTCATATTACTATAGTTTTTTTTCTTCACATAAATTTAAATTTAATTTTTTTATTATAATATTTTTCTCTCATACACAATCCAAGTTATGACTTGAGTTATGTAAATAAACACACACAAGTTATTATTAGATAAGTGACTCAAATTAATTTAGAAAAGTTAATATTTTGTTTTTTTAGGTAAGTTACCGTTTTCTATTTTTTGGACAAGGGTCATTAGGAGTTTATAAATAAATGTTTTGTGTAAGGCTTTATATGTGTCCAGAGAAAAATGTAGAACAGAGTGCTTCTTTTTTAGAGAAAGATAGGCAAAAGTGTAAGGGGTTTTGGGTAGACAGAGAAAATGAAAAAGTTTGTTAAGTGTGTAATTTTGAAACTGTAAGTGAATTTTTCTCCCTTTTCCCTAAATGTAAGAAACTTTTCCGAACCACCTAAGTCTTTATCTTCTTTATTTATCTATTACTTTTGTTTCAATTTATTTTTCTGCTGCATGAGTGTAGGGGTATGTTTTCCCCCCAACAACTGGTATTAGAGTTATGTTGATGATTAAAAGAAAAAATGAGGTCAAGATGATGTCTAGAATAAAATTTGAGTAGATTGAGCGGTTTGATGGAAAGAATAATTTCAGCATCTGACAGAGTTTGGTTAAAGATGTTTTGATTCAGCAAGGATTACTGAAAGCGTTGCAAGAAAAGAAGCAAAAAAATATGAAAGATGAAGATTGAGAAGAATAAGAAGCGAAAGCGGTAAGCATTATTCGTTTAAGTTTGGCTCCTGAACTGAAATATAGTGTTATGAATGAGACATCTCCTTCTGAGTTATGAAAAAAATTAGAAAAAGTTTATATGTCGAAATCCCTAACAAATAGATTATATTTGAAGAAGTAATTTTATGAGTTGAGGATGGAGGAGAAAAGTGATGTTAAGGGATCATATAAATAATTTTAATAAGTGTATAACTCAATTGTTAGGTGTAGAGATCAAAATTGATGAGGAAGATAAAGTAATAATTTTATTAGCCTCCCTACCCAAATCATATGAGAGTTTAGTGACTACACTTTTAATTGGAAAGACGATGTTGACTCTGAATGAGGTGTCGACTGCTCTGTTAGAGACTACAAATATGAAAAAACCTAATAGTACGTCTCATAATGAACAAGTTTTAGTGGTGAAGTCAGATTCAAATAGGGGTAGGAGAAAATCACGAGAGAGATATTATAATAAGAGAGATGATCATTCCCAATCCTGGCCAAGGAAGGATATTGAGTGCTACTATTGTCATAAGAATGGACATATTAGGAGAGATTGTGTAGAACTGATGAAGCATCTAGAAGAAAGAAGAGAGCAAAAATCCCAAGAGACTTCAGATTCTGTAAATGTTATTGGTAACAGGTATGACAATGAAGATGATGTGTATTCTATTATTGCTGATGAAAATATTTTTGACTCTTGGATTTTAAATTTTGGATGTTCATTTCATATGCGTCCACATAAAGAGTGGTTTGATTCCTATAAGCCCTGTGATGCCAGTACTTTGTTGTGGCTAATGATTCTAGTGCTAAAGGTGTTGGAAAAGGTACTATGAAGGTAAAGATGTTTGATGGAGTTGTGAGGACATTGACAAATGTTAAATATGTTCCTCAACTAAGGAGAAGTTTAATTTCTTTGCGGCTTTAGACACTTTGAGTTGTGAGTACTATGCGAAGGGTGGCTTTATGCAAGTTAAGAGAGGTGATTTAATAGCCATGCATGGTGAAAAAGTGAAAAACTTGTATAAATTGATTAGGACTACGGTTGTAGGTGGAGCCAAGCCACGAAAAGTCTTCCTCTGTTATGAAAGAAGTTGCAGTAGTAAAAGAGTATAGCAAGATGTTGATGACAGTTGAAGATGATAAAGACAAGATGGTGAAGACTTGTGGCAATGAAGATGCTTTGAAGAAGAAAAAGAAGACAATTTCTTGTGTTAACTTTGATGAGAGTTTGAACTTGACATATGTTTATTCTTGTTAAAGTTTGCATCATCGATGCAATGACGGTTGTCAAGATTGGATACCTAAATGTGTGAGTTGAGAGAATTTGAGTTAAGGTGGAGATTGTTAGGTAAGTGATTCAAATTGGTTTGGGAAAGTTAATATTTTCTATTTTTTGGATAAGTTACTGTTTTCTGTTTTTTGGGCAAGGGTCATTAAGAGTTTATAAATAAGTGTTTTGTGTAAGTATTTATGTGTGCTCAAAGAAAATTGTAGAGACAGTAAGGGTGTAAGGGGTTTTAGGTAGAGAGAGCAAGTGAGAAATTTTATTGAGTATGTAATTCTGAAACTGTTAGTGAATTATTGAGTGGGTAGAGCGACTCGAGAAGCAGTATTTACTCAAGAAGCAATGTCGACCGGAGAGAAATCGATTAGAGACCTGTGGATACTACAGATAAATTAGGAAAGAAACATCCTTGAAGTCCACAACGACCAAATCAACTAAATCAAGCAATAAGAACCAAAATCCGATCAAAATTGGTGAGAAAGCTTCCCCAAATCAAATAAGAAAACAATGAAGAAGGAAAGTCAACTAAAGCCACATAAGGATATTGCCTTGTCCTCGAGCTAACAATGCGTCAACTCAAGGAAAAGGCAACTAAGGAGCCGTAAATCATCTCCTATAAATATGAGACTAATATAACGAATTGGAGGGACATTATTCTACACATTTACTCCCTTTCTTTAGATTCTCTCTCTAAATCTGCACCTCCTTTCTGTCTCGTTCTCAATCTCCATTGTGATTATTCTTTTGAAAGCGTATAGTAAAACTCTGAGACCCTACAGTGAACATAGCCTTCGCATTGAAACTGAACCACAATAAATCAATGTGTCCATTTATTTTTCTGCACTTTACATTCTCGTTCTAGCATTCAATCGACTCAAATTGACATGCAAAACACGATCAACACCAAAGTAGTCATTGGTCCTCTAAATAAATTTAATTGTAGAATCCGATCATACACTCTAATAAGAACTATAAAATAAACTACCAATAATTCTATACTTTCAGCCATCACATTTATGTTAAAAATTGTCTATTATGTCTAATTTTTCAAGCTGATGTGATTTTAACTAAATTCAACGTTAAAAACTATCCCTGTTAGGTAGGTAGGCTATATTAGAGAAAGCCCTTATTATTACTTTTCTTGCCAGAGATTAACCGCAGTTAGGAAAGCAACTCATCTTGTTTGGCTAATTTATACCATTCATGACAGTAACTACTTATTTTTGGAGGACATAATTTCACATAAACTTCCCACTTATCGATCTTTTAGCTCTCTCTCTCTCTCTCTCTCTCTCTCTATCCATCACTTGACACTAGAGGTGGCACAGTCGAGGCTTGCAACTTCGAACGAACACCCAACCTCATGCTAACGACTTCGTTTTGCCTTCAACCTTGCGAGGCCAAGGCTTGGCTCGCCTAGCCTTGTGAATGTGCTGTGTGAGAGCTTTACAAGAAGGCCACTGCTAGGTTTGGTCTCACGAAAAGTCGGTCGTATTCGGCAACATGAAAATCCCGGACCGTGACATTTGGCCTCGCACTAGCCAAGTCCGCCTCCATTAAAGTCTGTTAACTTCTCCGGAGGTTGTTGCCCTCATAGTTGTGCTTGACTTTGCAGTTCTTTCTCGATTATTTTTGGTACTTAAATCTAAAAACAAAGACAATTATAAAAACAAATGGAGATGTTTTATAGAAAGAGCCCCAGAAATTGTCAGTTTTTGAAACACTCCATGAATTACTGCATAGTTGCACCCTTTAAATCTCTTAAGAGGCCTACTTAAGTCTTTAAAAAGTGTCCTCAGTGGCCTGATACATAAATCAGTGGCCCAGTTGCTATTGTGACGGATACATCACAGTTAAATTGTACACACTGACATTAACTACGTAGGCCATTCTTCATCGGTTCCTCGAAAAACACAAAATTAGTGAGCTCACTGTTTGAATGGATTATTTTAAGATTTTCTCTTTACACTTAATTAATATTTTTTTGACTAATATAATTCTTTAAGTAAATTAATCAAGTGTAATGCAAGACTTTACATTTTAAGTAGTATTTATCTCTCTTTCCTTTTTCAAAATACCGCAGGCCCATTACCATTAATTTCCCTCATTTTTCTGGAGGATTTTTTTTTTTTTTTGGGTGGCAAAAGAGTATTTTATTTTTCTTTTGAAATAGTTTATGTCCCACATCATGATGTTATGCCTTTTATATTGTACCTGGAACGTGATAATGAACTTCTTATTAATTATTTCAATTTGTTAGTTGTATGAGTGAAGAAAAGATTATTTCAACTAAAAAAAAAAGACATATCACATATATATATATATATATCATAGCAGCATATATCCAATTCAATTAATTAATTATAGTATAGTATCCTAAATAAACATTTCAAAATATATATCCTAAATAAACAAATAAAGAGGTTGTCTGATACAACTTGATCTTTTACATCTTCCTTTTAAATAACTATGAAAAATTATGTGGTGCCATGATAGATGTTAAATTATATACTTATATGGTAATTTAATAAGACTTGATAAATATTTAATTATATATAGAATTTTATTTTATCACTAAAGTATTTTTCATGCCCTAACACAAAAACAAAAAATAATAAAAAGTCACACCATCAACTATGTCATCATACTCTTCATTAGACGCGTCATAGTTATAGAAGATTCTATTAGAGAATGATATTATTGTGTAAAAAATCCATATAACAGAGAAATTGTAAATTGGTAGAGTATACGTGATTATTGTTGATTTTTAGTGTCTTAATTGTTGTCTAACCAATTAAATCATATCACATCATTACATATTAAGCACAAAAGAATAAGCTAAAAAGCAATATAAATTTTTTTACATGACATTGCATGATTTAATTAGTTACACTAATTAAAACACCAAAATTAGACAGCATATTTGAGTCCACACTTATATTATATATATAGCACATATACATATATTTGTTGTGAACAGTGAAATTAGTTATTTAACCCGCGAACTATGAATTTTGCCACTAATCTGCACATCCAAACACCAGGCCAAGCTAGTCATGAGCCTCCACAAATATTGACAAGATCAGGATTAACCACAATGATCCAGAATTAATTATAATTTCAAACAATGATTGTTGTTTGGTTGGGGGATTCGTCCCCTGATTCGAATCATAGTTCGTGGTTCGCTACAGTATTTTTTCTCATAAAAAATACACGTAAATCAAAAATAATTATAATCACATAATTCTAATCTATGAATCAAACGTCTCGTAGTCTAATTTGTCAGCTCTAAGCAAGAAGATATTATTATTAAGGAAAAAAAAGAAGAAGAAAACAATATTCCAAAACATTAAAATATAGACAAGAAATTCTTCATTACTATACACGCAGCATATTGTACGATCTTCTACGGTCTTAGATTCATGGAAAATTAGCCAAAAATTCAATATTCACTATATATAAGCTATACCTAGACACATGCAATCGATCAAGCACAGGAAATACCGAGCGAACTCGTCGCCGCAAACCGTCCCGATCCTGTTCTCGTCACCAACGATTCAATCTCCGGCGAAAATCCGCCGAAATCGATCTCCGGAACCTCGGGAATCGTCGTGAGCGCGCCGGATTTGTCGTAGACGACGAAGAATCCGTCCTTCGATTGCTCTCTCACTCGGAAGAAAAACGGAATTCGGCTTCGGCCGGAAAACCGATCGGAGAAGTTTGTTGATCGATCGGGAGATCTTCGACGATTTCTTCACCGCCGCGGCCGCCTGCGTCGGCGGCGCGGCAATGACTCGGCGATCAGTCAGGTGAGGCATCGAGAGGCTTCTAGAAGATATAGCGGAGTCGAGCTGGCGTTTGAAGGAATTGAGCTCGAAGGAGTCGTAGAGAGTGCTTCCGCAGTCCCAAACCGGCGTCTTCTTCTTCTGACCTTGTTGATTTTCTCCGTTTTCCTTCGATTTTTTCTCCATGTGTTTGGCTGGCGAGAAATTAAGGAGAAGAAGAGAAAAAAAAATATTTAAGAGAGAGAGAGAGAGAGAGAGAGAGAGAGAGAGAAAGGGAGAGAGGAAGGGCGTGATTTTGCGAAGGTTTTGAGAGCTTTTTGAAATGGTTTTCGAAGATTCAAACGTGTTAGTTACGAGTTTACGACCTAAAAGTTTTTCCTTTCTTCACCTTCCCACGAAGCTCGTTCACGTCGTGCTCTTCTTGACCATGAATTGCTTGAGCCTGCATTTAATGGAAATGAAAGAGATATAGTTGGAGACTTTATTATGACTATCCCGTGTATTTCTTTAATGCCATTGAAATAATATTATATATGCTTGCCATTTCCCATTTCTTTGATTGATGTACATTTTATTATAAATTAAGTCTGTTGAAAAAGAAAAAAGAAAAACTAAAATTCCAACAATGCTGATGAGACTGGTCGGGAGAACTAATGCCACGTCATTACTGACGTGATTAATTAGTTCATCGAACCGTTTATTATTGAGCGATTTGGTCATCGATTTTGAGATACTTTTGGTTTGTGATTGAAACCAACTTACTACCTGTTCTTTTCCTTTTGTTTATATATACATAAAAAAAAGTATATTATGAGACTATGTTGAGGCGTTTGGTTAGAGATAATGTGATGTGTTTGTGTCTTTGGAGAAATATCCATAGTTTGTTATGGTTTTGTAAATGCTTATTATTTAAGTCATTTTAAATAATTAAGTATTATTGTGGCCTTTTATTTTCTTTTTATTAATTGAATCAGAATTATTTATTTTTTAGTGCAGTGATATAATCAATATTTTTTTACCATGTATTAATCATTTTAGAAGAAAAAGATGATAATAACTATTTGGTTACCTGAGTTATACCATAGGATTATCGGGGCAAAAAATGCGGGAAACTATAGAAAAACCAATCGAAATTGATTGACCAATTTCGATCGGTCCTTCAACTTCACACCGATCAATTCGGTTTTGATTTTGCAAAAACTGGCTAGTTAGTTTTAGTTAGGGCTGGCAATATGAGTCACGACACGACAACACGATTCGAAAACGACACAAATTTCACAGGTTAGGGTTGAGAAAAAAGAGGTTCGGGTCATGATTGGGTTGAATGAAATTGACACGAAAAACACGGGTCAATTTTGAGTTAGACCCGCCTAACCCGAACATGACACTAAACTCGTAAAAAATTAAAATTTTTTTTTTTCATTACATATTTAAAATTTTATTATGAACATGTGATATCGTGATAGTTATACTTAAAATCTTATACTATTATTTGCTTAATTTTGATGGATATTATTGTATTTTAGTGTGTTATGAATTTTAAGTTATTTTTAATATGTAAAAAATTAAAGAAAAGTATATAATTTTCGTGTCAATTTCAGGTGTACGAGTCAATTTCGCGTCACGGATTATTTTCGTGTCGTGTTGTGTCAACCCGTAAAGTGGTTGTGTCGTGTTCGTGTTTTGGTTTTTAAAAAATTTCGTATCACGGAAACACGACACGTGACACGAATTGTCAATCTTAGTGAGAATTGAACTAAAATCGATTGATTGTTGAGCTCTATTATAAATTATGATAGAAATACTATTCAATCACGTATTTGCTTCAAGAACACTAAAAATCAAGCTTATGTGACGCAACCTGTGATTTTTACTTAAAAAGGAGGCTTTTACATGTGGTCCTTGGATCCTCTTTTCACGTTAAGCATGTGGGAAAAGCTGTTAAGCACCGTCCGAATAAATCCAATCATCAAATTTTTTTCTCATTTAGTATTATATAGAGTAGATACGTGTAATAACACGATTGCATATTGGAATATATATATAATTACTCCAAAATTAATAATTGTTTCGACTGTTGTTACATTAGTATTGTTCGTAGATGAGTTTCTGTGTAATAATAAAAAAATTTAATAATTGATATTCGTTCATGCTTCATAGAAAACCTTGTCAAGAACAACAAATGAGAGATGTAATATGGCCAATATACGTGCGTAAGATGAGTTTTAAGGCCAATTTGGTGATTGTAGGAATGTTATAGAATAACCAAATAAAAAAAAACGAGTTTTAATCATGTGCAAAAGTATAGGTAATACATCATGCAAGTTCGTGATTATTACTCCTAATCCACAATTTTAAACAAATAAATTATTCATCAAAGAGTACATGTTACGTGAACGTGAAGGAAATTCGAATTATTGTATATCTTAATCGTGCAGAAGTATAACGAGGGCATTTATTAAATGGGCCCATATATTTAATAAAATGTTAAAATGTTTAATGCAAATAATTTATCTTTTTGTCTTCGCTATTATGACTCCACAGTAGTACATACGCGGATTAGAAGAAATTCATTCTGTCTTTGATGAACCACTCTTGGGCAACTTATATATACATGCAAGATATTGGTGTGAGTAATACATAGATCAAGATTCATTTATTTATTTATTTTTTTTTTTGAAAGTGATATATAGATCAATATTGCTGAGATTATTTATTCCTTGTCCAGATGTAGGACCATATAATTAATTAACATGATTTTGAGCCACCTTGAATTAAGTGGATTCTTTATCATAGCCAAGCGCAAGTAGTCAAAAAGTGGATTACAAATTAGTTTTAACTAACACATTAGTTGGGAAACTCAACACACGCCCAAACTGAATGCGTGGTGTTTACGTTTTAATTGACAATGTTATAGATTTATTGTACATAAACCTACTATAAATATAACTTTTTTTAATGTTAATTGTTAATCAAGATAATATTACTTTATTGAGCAGCCAATTAAGTAATGAAATATGTGCGGTATATAAGAATTGTGACAATATAAGAGTTCTTCTTCATTTATTTTGGTGAATTCAGTCAATATCCAGAATCAAATTTCTTTATAAGTTATGGTCATTTGCGACTATTTGTATAACTTATTAATTTATTAAAAAAAATTCAGTTCAAAAAAAAAAAAAATAGAATCGTTTTCTAAACATAGAATTTTAACCTAAGAATTGGCTAATAAAGATGGGTGTTTTAACTCCTAAAATAGGGTTGTGTACTTTTATTTTGATTTTGACCTTAATTTGTTCCCCACATCATACTTAAATATTTTTTTAGGGTAGCCCACTTCGTAATGGCTTAAGATGGTAAATATTTTCCTATTATGGCCATGTGTCCTCTAAATTCTGATTCTCTGAATACATTTATCTTTTTTTTTATATAAATTAATTTTATATTTAGGTTAGCTTAAAAGATACTATAAAACAAGACAAAAAAAGAAGAATCAAGTCTCGAAATGTTGACAATTTTTTAAAGAGTTTTGATAAGATTACGGATAAAAATAATTTTAAAAAAAAAAAAACTAACTAAAATACTTTTCAGATATATAGTCAAGTTTCCATTCATGATAGCTTCATGAAAAGGAACAAGGAAAAAGAAATACATACATATGGACCAATTAGACAAATAAGTCATTTTCAGCTTTGTTCATCAAAAATAACCCATCCAATTCCATAAAAGACAAAAGCTCCTAAAAAAAAAAAAAAGAAATGACAGAAAAAGGATAAGTTGACAAAAGTATATCAAGATTATGATCAACGCAGATTAGGAGGATGATTTGGGTTCCCACTTTGGACGTGTGAAATACGAGTACAATAAAATAATAATAAAAAAAAAAAAAACAATCAGTGTTATAATTAACAAAACCCAATATCTTACTGTCTCAAATCACAATTCAGATTAATTAAATACAGCGCTTTGACTTCATAATATTAATTAAGGAGAAACCAAGCTTTTAAAGATTTTCAAGTTATACCTTAGATTAAGGTCGGCCATATCTGTCCTATAACTCCATATATTAAGGACTTTTCCGTATTTATGGGAAAGAAATATGAATCATATGCTTAAACCCTTCACCAACTGGATTATTTGACTTTAGAAGCCATTTTCAGTCTCTCATCCAACTGCCCTTTTAAACATATATCAAAATGGGTTTTTTTGGCACAATTACCTCTCAATTAAAGCTCTGCCATGGAAAAAAAAAACAATAAAAAATTGATTGCAGATCTGCAATGAAAAGGATCCGTGGAATTTCCAAATGAAACAACTCATGACTTTTTTTTTTTTAATTTCTATGTATAACGAAAGCACCAAGAGACAAAAATAAACTACAACCAAAAAGCTACCGCAATGGCAGATCTCCAGCCAAGAACATTTTTTGTTTTTGTTTTTGTTTTTTATTTTTGTTTTTAATATCAGAATTCAGCAAAGAACTTGAAGCAACAGAATTACATAAGTCATTGATTAATACTCATCTCCAGCCAAGAACTTGAAGTCATTGACCATTATTTCATCTTCTTTCGTACATGGTTTTATATAATCTGACTTACATAGAATCAAATTTCTCATTTACGTTTCTTCTATTTCAGGTCTTTATCCTTTCGTCTACAATTAAAATCCTCAAAAAACCAGCAAAATGACGTTCGAATCTAAATCAAGTTAATAAGCTTAGAAATGTTCAACATATCACCCGACTCTCAATTGTGTTTTTTTTTCTTTTTTTTTTATCCTGGGTGATTTTTAGAAGGATTTTCTGGGTTTTTAGCCCCACCATCTGCAAAGAAGAGAATGGGTGGGGGAAGAGAAGAACAAGGAGGAGAGAGCATCTGCAGTGTACACAGAGACACGTGTAGCAAAGAGAAAAGAGGGTCCAAGGATCTGGACACGTCAGTAAACTACTTTTTACATTTTTATCGGTTGATTTCCTGTATTCCTTCCACGTTACACGGTGGGGCACAGTAAAATACCTATTTATAATTTAAATTTTATTTATTTTTATCGATTTAAAATTTTAATTTTAAATATAAATTTAAAATTTTTAAAAAATATAATATATAATTTTTTTTATTACAATTAAAAATTTTTAAAAAATAATATATTTTAATTTAAATTAAACACTTAAATCTATAAAATAACGAAAGTTAATCAACATCGTTTTTTACTTGTCCCATCCGTATGCCGAAATGGGCCTAGCACAAGAGAAGGACCCCTAAAAATCAGATTTAAGAGTAGTTAGAAATACCTTATATTTAAGGAAAATAATAAAAAATAGGTTAATATAAAAAATTTAAGAAAGTATATAAGTTAATTTTTAGTTATAAAAATTAATAAGTCATAACTTGTTAAATTATAGTTCATAATTAGATAAATTATGGATAAACTTGTTAAGTTATGATTTATAACCAGACAAATTATGAACAATTATGGACAATAACTTGTCAAGTTATGATTCATAACTAGACAAATTATGAACGAAAACAGTAATTTAGCCTATTTATTAACTTATGTAAACTATTAACCTATTAATTTTAATTCATCTCAAATCTTGACCTATTTTTCTCTTTCTCTCTATATTTAATTACCAAAAATACTCAAAATTTTCAAATCTCTACTTCACTGTTTTAAGTTTAAAATTTAAATTTTATTACAATAAAAAATTTTTAAAAATAGTTATATTTAATTTTTTTATTACAGTAAAAAATTCTTACATCAAATCACATCACAACTTAAATTATAAATTCAAATTAACAAATTAAACGGACTCTAACTCTCTATCCTCTCTCACTCTCTCTTTCTACCTTCTCTATTCTCACCCTTGCCCCGTCTCTCTCTCCTCTGCACCTCTCTCTGCTTACAGTCTCTCTCCTCTGCCCTCTCTCTCTCCTCGCGCACTCTTTGCTCGCCCCCTTTCTCTCTGTGCTGCTCTCTCTTTTTCTCCTCTCAATTTGCGTGATCTTCCACCTGCAGATGCAGACGCCGTCGCGAGCTTCGTTCCACCATTGTCGGCTTCACATTTCTGATTTGCTGTTCGTGGTTCCAACGAGAGAGTAAAGAGGAAGAAGGAGGAGAGTGGTGTATCTCTGATGGAGGGCATTTTCGGATTTCTAAAAATCGTTTTACAAAATGAGCGACTTTTTTCATTTAATTTCTTCAACTGACATTTTTTATTTTACTCCTAAAAGACTGTTATACAGATGGCCAAAAGATGTGTCTGTTTTGTTATAGATAAACACTTCTAAAAGGACTAATCATTTAAGCAAAAAAATATTGTATAAACATAACGGAATATAGATGTCTTTTGTTTGCTTACCTCTCTTCATATGTCAATTTGTATACTGAGCAATACCTGTCATAAACAGTATTGATATTTAGTAGAAGACAGTGATTATTGCGTTACTAAGAACTTGTTCTTTTGGAGTGTGACTTGAGTATAGTTTTTTAGTTGAATTTGAGTTATAACTTGAGTTAAAGTTGTAACTTGAATAAAGTTGAGTAAAGTTGAATAAAATTAGAATTTAAAAAAACGTAAACTTGAATAAAGTTGTAACTTGAATTTAAACTTTTTATGAGTTTTATTGTAAAAGAACAACCCTTAACTTGTCTGTTTTGTTTTGGATTCAAATAGCAAGCATGTCATTCCATACTAAACCACAACATGACACAAATATTGCTTTATGCAGTGTTTGCAATAAATGCCACGTCATTTCCAACTTTGAGTAAGGTTTCAGGTTGGCTTAAAATTTCAACTGATACCCCTCTCATGTGTAACTATTAGAGTGACTTTTACAATATCGAGGCTTAATTTGATAGTGCTGTAAATTTTAAAAAAATTATTTTTAATTTTACTAAAAGAAGAAGTAACTGTTATAAAAAGTAATTGAGTGTTTAATAAACTATAATTATAATAACTGTGCTGGTTTCAAAATCAGTGTAATAACGTTTGATAAATTATGAGGTTGAATTGCTATAGATAGTTAAAAATTACGACTATATTATATTATATTATATTATATAATTACAATATAATATATATTTATTATTATATTTACTATAATACAAAAAAAAATTTATTATATAATTATGATATAAAATATAATAGTATTATTTAAATAATAACTGCAATAATTAAAAATAACGATTATATTATATTATACTATAATATAATTTATATAATTACAATATAATGTATATTTATTGTTATATTTAATATAATACAATAAAACTATTATTCAATAACATATTATATAACTATGATATAGAATATAATAATATTATTAAAATGGTTAATATAATTACAATATTATAAAACATATTATAATATTACATAAGAAAATTATTATATTATTATTATTATTATGAATATAATTATATCAATATAATATAATGTAATAATATTATTGTAATATTATTAATATAATAAATATAATTATATCAATACAATATAATATATTATATATTATATATTATAAAATAATAATTATAATATCATATTATATGATAGAATAATAATATTCGAGTTATTAATATAATTATGATATTATTTGTTACAATATTACTATTATATTATATTATATTACGAGTCTGAATTTTATATTGAGAAAATTATAAATTATAAATTATAAATTTTATTAGGGGTAAAATTATTATGAAAGTTTAATTAATTGTATTATGTTGATTCATGCACAATCTATAAGCTAAAGTTGTCTTTAGGCTGCTTCTGATTTTGAATGTAGATTCTTAAATAATTATTCAAAAAGCACTTTTGAGGAGATTTACCAAACACTAAAATCAACTTCTACTACAAGCAGAAGCTGATTTTGAGAGGAAAAAGCAATACCAAAATAAGCCAGAGAAACATTAAGACCTCGTTCACTTTGCAGATTTGAGTTTTCAATTTATCCTGAGATGTGACATTTTATGAGAACTTTTAATTGTGGTAAAAAAAAATTAGATGTGTCATTTTCTGAGAGCTTTTAACTGTAAAAATCTAAAATTAAAAACTCAAATCGGTAAAATGAACGAGATCTAAATGTCTTGGGCCTTTGACTTTGCCCTTTGGGTTATAGTATAAGATTTTGGAGAAATAGTAGAAAATAGGCCAATATGAAAAACTTAAGAAAGTATATAGGCCAATTTTTAGTTATAAAAATTAATAGGCCATAACTTGTTAAGTTATGGTTCATAACCAGATAAGTTATGAACAAACTTGTCAAGTTATGGTTCATAACCAGACAAGTTATGGACGAAAGTAATAATTTAACCTATTTATTAACTTATGTAAACTATTGGCCTATTAATTTTAATTCATCTCAAGTTTTAACATATTTTCCTCTTTCTCTCAAGATTTTGTTGCACTTATCAAGTGATGTCACGCGTATTACACCCAATACTATTTAATCAAGAATGGCAGGCCGTCTTAGGTGGAACTACGAGTTGGGTTGTCCCTTTACTCTATTCTTCGAACGGCGGGGAGGCTTCAAATGGGAGTAAGCCCACCCCCATCCCACCCCACGGCCCACCCTACCCCTCCAAGGCCCCATTTATTTCATGACTTTCCTTAGCAACAGAAGAACAACCCTTACTCTGCTCTTCTCGAAGGATAATTTGATCGCTCTCTCAAAGAGAGTCTCCCCTTCCCGCTACTCCTCCCTCTCCTTTTGGTGCTATGAGTGAGGCTTCAATGGAGTCTATTTCTCACTCCCAAATAATTTACCTATACTAATTTACGTGTAAATTAGACTAAACTCTTTTAACAAAAGTGGTAATCCATTTTTTCCCCTTTTTTGAGGGGGAATAAAATGCTATACCTTTGATTCACCCCAATGACGTCCCATATACAAAATAAACCAATTAGACACACTTGCATTTTCTAGTAAGATCTGTTTTTGAGTAAGATCGGTTCGAGATCATAGGGTCTTTTTTTGTTCTTTTTTCTTTTTTTTCCCTTCTTTCGTTAATAAGATAGGAATGATTCTTGCTGTATAACACAAGTATTTTGTTCTGTAAGATTCTAAAATGCCATTAAGATTGAAGTTTCTTCCTACTAAAGAAAAGAAACTATTATATGTATATTGGTATTTATGTAGAAGCCTAGTCAACCACATCACTGCTAAAGAGTTTGAACTTATAGGCGTCAAGAATCAATTTCCGCAGAGAAGAGAATGCACCCACTATTCCTACTCCTGTGAACACAAAGATGATAGAGATGTTGATCAAATAGGTGAAGGATGATCTTGGAGGCTTGTGAGTCTTGTTGTAGAGAAGCATTGGGAGGATGAAATCTAAAGGGATGAACCCAATAGCTCCTACCACACTAGTTATGTCTCCGAAGAACGGAAGCATTGCTGCAAAGAATCCGCAGAGCGCCATGTACAACGTTCGAAGAATTAGCCGAGGAACGAGGTTTCTTTTCGAAAACATCCCTTGGTCGGCGTCTGCTGATTTCTTCTCCATGATCTCATACGCAACTTGGGAATATACCTGCATTATATTGGAGAGCCATACTAAGTTGAGCACAAACATTGTTAAGAAATTAGGATAAATTGGATTAAGTGGTCGTCTCAATTTTCACTAAATTTCAAAATGTGACATTTGCAATCCATAAACTTGGAAAGCAGAACGTGTCAGGAGAAAATTTAAGAATTAAATGTCACATTTGGCAACACATTCTAACATGACGGAATAAGAAATTGAGATGATATTCTAATTGGAAATGTCACATTTTGAACTTCAAGGGCATGTGAGATAAACCTTAAGCTTGAGTATTTCTGAAGCATAAGTGAAACTAATCAATAAATTATGTTAGGCTGCTCAACATAAAAGCATTTCCTTCCTCCTAACGTGGATTTGTAGACTGATTTGACCTTTTTTTTTCAAAGTAAATTGTGTGCTATATTTACCAGGCCAATGGCAAAGAGCTGAAGGAGAACAAAGATAACTGCAAGTCCAAGAACCCATGTTGGAGCCAAAGCAGGTCCTTCATCCGGCATTAGGCTCTCGAGAATGTTCGAATTAGACTTGTTCCCAAAAACCCAGTAACCGGATACAGCAGTTGAGTAGAAGGTGATGAAAATCACTGAGTAACACATCAAAAGGCCTTTTACCATCTTCCCAGTAGCAGGTGGAGCCAGAGTAGCCTGTATGGACGGCAAGGTCGTAATTAAAATGAAGAACTAGCAAAACCATTTCTCGTTTGAGTCGTGTGTTTTAATGTCTGTGATTTCAAACAGATCATACAATGGTTTAACATCAAATGCTCCAAGGATTAATCTGTGTCTTTACTTGTATTTCAGGTAGTATCCCGTTCCCAAAAATGGCGGCTAATATGGAGATGGAACTGAAGGCACTGAAAGCCCGGGATGAGCTTGAAGATTCTAAGGAATAGTCCCTTGGTGGGGCGTTTTTTGAAGTACCTGCAGACCAAAGTAGAAAGTAGCATAAATAACTTAAGCTAACAAGTTTCTAAGAGTATGCAAACACTAGAAACCTCATTTCCTAAATGGTATAATCTAACATTTAGGTGCCTTTCCAGTGAGCAATTGCCTAGATATGGTCACTCAGTGGGGTCCTCTTATGAGCCACGATGTTACTTCCTCTAAAAATTGTGGTCAAGCAACCCGTGGGTTATCTATGTTCTTTGTTTTCGAGTTTATCAGAAACAATCTAACATGCAGGACCAAATAAATACCTTGATAAAATTATTGAGCAACTGACAGTACAAAGTCCAAGTTCTGCTTCCAGTAGCAACTACCAACTTGAAAATTCTGGAACCACTTTGAAGGATTACAAAACAGTGTGGCCCTAAATAACACACGTTGAATCACAATAGAAACGGCAAACGTCCACGTGAACACAGAAAGATACCTCATAATACACGCTTTCTTTCGTTACCAAGGCTAGAGAGTTGTTTATGTCTAAGTCAAGAACTAAACTAAATTCCACAAAAAACATAAGTAATTCTTAAGAAACATTCAGATGGGCAAGATGCTTAAAGTATCAGAATTTATGTGCCATCCCACGAGCTTTTATATTTTTTACTTGGACTGTCATCCCCCACTATTAATTTTTACGCATTAGTACCTCATCAGATCTTGACCATTCAAAATAGTTTAAACGCAATATGACAGTTGTAGATAAAACGCAGAGAAGGAACCGTGACAAATTAGTATTTGTGCAAGTCAACTAAATTAGTGGGCTCAACCTAACGTTTACTGTGAGACAGCGGTACCGGTGAGGAATGACAACCATGGCCTTTTACTTAATAGTAAAAGAGGAAGACTAAAACATTGTAATGAAAATATTAAGGTTCTAGTACCTGCACTGATACAAGCACCAACCACAAGGAAGGAGTAGCCCAAGCTGAGAACCAGTGAGCCCAAGTTGATATGTCTAAGGGAGTGGAAGCTAGGAAGCTGAGACAGGACTATCATGATCACTGTCACCATTGCTATGAACTCGTATAATTTCAGAGGCCCGTCTGGGGAAATCTCTTCATACATAATCTATACAGCCAGAGATAAAAATGTGAAAAATAAGTTGCTTAGATAATGCAAGATTTGAGCAGTGCCAGTTTTCTTCATAATACTCCAATCTCATTATAGAAAAGTACACAAGTAACACATTCATAATGGTCATATAGAGGACTAAACTGTTTTTGTCTTGGATTATAAATGAAATTCTGACACATTCATATTCATCTGCATAATTTCTTTGGTATTTTGCACAGTGTCTACAAACAAGTGGCTCCGAAATTTGGAAAAGTCATGACGCTCTTGCTCACTTACATCTATGCTTTAACAATTAATGGTCCTCGTTAGTTCAGAAGACTAATTTATCAGTTCCAACCAACTATTGGACCCCATCAGCTTCTTTTTAACGTGTCACTGGTTTTAGCACAAATCAGCTACGAATTTAAATGGAGAAAAAAAATTGTGGGGTCCTAATCCCGGTGAAATGGACAAAAATTAATGGCCAATCTTGTAGGCTATAAATGGAAGTTTCCCACTAATAATCCAACAAACTACTAAAGCAGCATTACCTAAGTTAAGGATGAGACGTAAAAAGTAATCTAACTCAAGTAATTTTACAGATATCTTCGTGAATTAAAACTCAGCTACTCATATAAAGTGAACCTGTTAAGTGGATAAGTGGGACCCAACTTAATAGAATACATTATTTTATAAGTGATGGAGTTTTATCCGACCTGGATAAATATCAGTTTCAAGACAAAAACAAGGGATTGATATCAGAAAGTATTAAAATACGTTGTACCTGAAGGCATTGTCCAGAAAGCAAAATTGCTCCTATTCCAACCCCAGTATTTATGGCCGTCTGAATAAATATCACAAAGTAAAACATCCATCCTGAACCTGTTACAAAGACATGACAAAAGCCACATATTTGATATCACTTTACTGACCTCATTATGCAAAAAAAGTATTATAACACATTAATTATTGAAACTATGACTTATAGAAACTCTACTCTAGAGTGTTACCACCGCCGTACGAACTATTAACCTTAATTACTATTTAAATTAGACGGTATTTATAAAGTATAACTGTGTAGTCTAGAAAATTTTGAGGTATTCGTCTTATTAACCATTTTAATTTAAATCCTAAAAGGCAATAACGATTAGGGGCGAAGTTACACATGGCCGAGGTAGGTGGCGTAATGGTCCATATAAGACCCATGTCACGTTTAAAAAAAACAATACTTCAACTTTTGTAAGAACTCACATGTCACGTTTCATGATGTTCATACGCTATTACTCCACCAAAGATCATTAAATTCACTTCATACAGAAGCAAATAATAAACGAACAAAAAGTACAACCACAAAAGTCATAACTTTCATGCCAATCTTCGCATAAGGTCAAAAAGGACACACGTGTGTACTTGATAGCCATTATTGAGTTACTCAACACCAACAAAAACAAGTCTAAAAAATGAAGAGAAAATTTGCAAACTTCCATTTTCTTGGCAACCAAACAAACAGCAATTTGCAAAAATGTACGTCACTTATGGTAACGGAGTTAAACTAAATGCGGGGCCGATCAGAAACCATCATCAGGCCACGAGTCAGAATCCTACTCAAGAATACTATAGAGGCGAGACGACGACGTTTTAACGTCCATTTCGTTGTCGGAGAGGAAAGAAACTTAAGTCAACGTTTGATTCATAAATTTAAGTGTATTTTTTTAAGAAAAAATACGGTAGAAAATTGAATTATGATTCAAATTAAGTTACGAATTTATCGACCTTTAAAACCAATCACTTTTATTTTATTATTTTTATTTTTAATTTAAAATAATATTGATCGTCGGTTACCTAGGACGTCGGCGGCGAGTTCGCGAAATCGGATGTGGCGGCGACCAGCTTTCTCACAGTGGTCGAGCACCTTGGACATGAGATAATACGCATAGAAGGTAACGATCCCCATGATCGTCAGGCACAGCAACCCAAGCACCCATCCAAGCCCTCTGAACGCGTACGGTAGGGTCAGGATCGTGGGCCCCACTATCGCCGTCGTCAGATGAAACCCGGCGTGCCACCATTGCCCTGAAAATAATTTTAAAAAAAAATTAGCAACGTTGATAACATTTAAAATATTAAATATTTCGTAAATTTAAGCTGAGATCGAGAATTTCACGGATGAAGATGAAAAAAAAAACAAAAAATAAAAATAAAAACCTTTGGATTCGAGGACGAAGGCTGCACCAGCGTCGTTGTCGGGGGACGAGACGGGTTTCGGAGGCTCCGCCACTGGACGGAGAAGGGTGGTGTTGATGGTGGTTGAGCGCATGTTAAGGTAAATACGTTAAACGACGCCTTAGAGGCGCACGTTAGCGGAGGGGATGAAAAGGGTGGGAGAGTTTGTTGTTGGTGGTGGTGATCATGTTGTCTTTGGAAGCGACGGGGGTGAGCTGTCTCTGCCGCCCGAGGGATGCGGGTGGGAATGAGGGAAATGAAAATAAAATTCCCTTCACGTTCTTTTTTTCTTTTTTTTAGGTCTCACTTCTCTAGTATTTTTGACGGTTCGGATTGGCAAAGGAGGGAATTTATTCGGATTCTAGTGTCGTGTTTACCAATTTACCCTTGATAACTTCTTTTTTTAGATGTGTTTTTATGCGCACGGCTTTTGACTTTTCAGTTGATATATTGTCTCGTTCACTTCGTAGATTATAATATTTTTTAAAATTTTTTTATTATGATAAAAAAAATTAAATGTGATATTTTTTAAAAATTTTTTATTATAAGAATTTAAAATTAAAAACTTAAATTGATGAAATAAACGGCATTCAATTTGTACTTCAAGCTCGATATTTGTGTGAAATATCTGTACTCTTCCTTTTAAAATAATATTATTTAATTTGAAGGTAATTGAGGAATAAATTCTGTAATATTGAGGTTAAAAAACATGGCATCTGATTCCTTTTTTTATTTATTTTTTTTATTGGCAAGTTGAAGGCCAATGAATACGTGGATAAACATCAGGTTACGTCGTCGTGAATATTAATAAGGTCGTTTTGGTCATCTTGTGAATATTTCAACGTCGTTTTGGTCTTTTTATAGTTGACGGAACAGAGGTGGGCCACCAACCACGAACAAGATGCCGTGTAGTTCAGCTCATCATTACGTCATTAATTTTAAACCGTAGCTGCATTCCAACGAAAAAAAAGTACAAAAAAAAAAGAAAAAAAAAGAAAAGGGAAGTCCAGCCAAAAAAAGAAAAAAGGATGAAGCTTTACAAGAATATATGATGGTGAAATTGCAGCACAAAGAAACATTTTTTTTCCCCGCAGAAGATTCCAGATTTTTTAGATTATGTTCACTCTGCAACTGCGTTGATGCAGTACCTCTGGATATGATCCCTTTTTTTTTCCCTTAGAAAATGTCCGATTTTTATACTCGCGTGCAATATACTTTGATTGCTGTGCTAGGATTTATTCACTCACTCTGCGGCATTAGGATTGGCCAATAAAGTTTGGGATAAATCGAATCAAGTCCCATGCGATGAAAATAACCTTAAGGGTCTATGAGGGTTTTAATTAGAACGGTTTAAATTTTTCGATTTGAACTATGAGTTTTGAACTGTAGAGTTTGAACTTATGCTATATTTGATAGGAAGAAAAAAAAAATATGATAGAAATAAAATATGAAAGTGATAGAAAATAGTAATGTTGGAAAGAAAATTAATTTTCTTTTATGTTATGTTGTTTGGTATGAGAAGATGGAAAAAAAATGAGCTTACCTTCACTTGTTTAGTATTGGAAGTTAAATTGGGAGGAAAGAAAAAATCTTACTTGTAAATTACTTTTATACCCTAAAATTTTTTACTTGGATGTTGATGGAGAAAATAGTAGTTTAGTAACTTTGCTCACTTTAATGAGTTGTCTACATTTTTCATCTCATTTTCTGCCCACTTGTGGAAAGAAAAAAATAATGGGGCCCACATGTATTATTTTTCACTCTATTTTCTCTTCCTTTTTCTTTTCTCTCCTACTAAACAACCGACGTTTTCATTTTTCCTCCCAAAATCCCACCTTCTTCCTTCCTTCTACTTTTCTTTCATACCAAACATACTCTTAAAGTTCAAACCATGAATCCTTGAAAATTTTGAGGACCGGTTGATTTTTCCATCATTCAACATCTTGTGAATTATTTAAATGGCACCAAAAAAATTCAAGTGTAACATAAATTTGCATTAGTTTTATGTTCTCATAATTTTCAGAGAGAAAGTGTTAGAAAAATTGTAATATGTCTCTCATAACAAGTCATACATTTTTAAAGTGTTAGAAAGATTGTAATGTCTCTCATAACAAGTCACATTTTTAGACCATTAAAATGCAAATGGAAGCATTTGAGACTGCATAAGTACTGCAGCGCATGTAAAATGTGTTGTAACCCGCGAGACAGCACTAAACATGTGTTGTCTGCAAAGTCACAGGCGTTGCAACGGTTGTGCGGTTGTCGTGCTGTAACTTGTTCTTTACTGTTGCCAATGTGTTTTCTCTGGCAAACCCATTGCAACGCCTTCGACAGAAAAAATGCAAGTGTGTGATTTGTAATGCAAATTGATATAACCATTGGTGATATGTTTTAATACATTTTTGAATACCTATTAGCAATAGACATATTTATTGTAATAGATGCATTAATACACGAAGAGATACCTTTACAATGAAAAAGTTATCTTTATGTGAATGATTGTGATATTTGAAGAGAATGTGTTTATTCATAAAATGACACTTCTGTCTTTATTAATTTTTCAGAAAATTTACAGACTTAATTCATATTATGGAACTCAATATTATTGTTAGATATTATTTTCAAAAGTTTATTGTATCTTGAGGTAATTTTTCATTAAAACTCATTAACAAATTTTGAGAAATGATGGCAAATAAAATTTTTAAATAAAGTATTTTACAATACGCCTCAAACTCAAAAATTATCTCATTCTTTTCTTCCTCTATATATAAAATTCTCCAACAGAAAGGAGGAAACACATAAGAAAATTGTGTTGCACTGGAAGCAGGTAAAGTTAGTATAGCATAAGAGTATGACCAATTTAAATATAATGGGCATAGAAGTATAAAGGTATTTCATATTGGGTGATTTAGATCTAGCCAAATTACAAATCTTGAATTGAAATTTGGCTTATGTTTGAGAATATCTCATACACGACCTAATTGTATAATGATATTTAAATAAAATATTACGTAATTACATTATTGACTTTATAAATGATATATTACTTTTTTACATAATCGTGAGATATCTGTGATTTGCCCCACAAATCGTGAGATATCTATCTGTTTAAAAAAAATCAAATCCCAAAAATAAGGAAATTAAATCACAAATTAATTAAATTATTGTGGAAGATATAATTCTATTTGAAAGTGCTATCAACAGAGAGAATAATGATCTGGTATGATTTGCTCTTTTTTTTAGATTTGCTTTTTTTTCCCTCTAAATTAGAATATTCGTCGAAGATTGGAAATATTTGAATTTTTTATTTTAGTTGTTGGAGGAAGAATTGTTAGTTTATTTTTTGTATTTTCTAAAAAATAGATTTATCGTAAAAATTACTTTTGATTTTGTTCTTTTATTGAACAGAGCGCGACTATTATATTGATGTTAATGATATGTTTAATAATATGCACTATTTGTTGTTATTTAGTGACTTAGTAATAATTTTTAATGGACCTATAAGATGGTTTCAATTTTCATTATTTCTAAAAAGTTTAAACTAGATTTGCCTTTTTTTTTGGTTGTTTCTTAAAGTGCACTATTTGTTGTTATTTAGTGACTTAGTAATAATTTTTAATGGACCTATAAGATGGTTTCAATTTTCATTATATTTCTAAAAAGTTTAAACTAGATTTGCCTTTTTTTTTGGTTGTTTCTTAGAATGAGGAAATATTCGGAAAAGAATCCGAAAAAAAAAAAAAAAAAAAACACCCCAATAAAATAAATCGAAGGATTTTTTCAGAGTACATTTTTAAGTAAGTCACATTTGTGTTAGGGGGTGGGGCCTGCTATATCGTACAGCAGTGAATGATGACTGACCGGCTGAATTAGCCAACATTTTCAAGTAAAATTTGCACTAACTTTTGAGAGAACTTTGCACGTTCACATAAAGATTTTCCACTTGAAAATTAAATTAGTGTCAGAAAAAACACACCCCATATAGTTTTTTAACACCCCAATTCTGATAACAAAACAATAAATCTTTTAAAATTACTCAATTTTAATAAAACATTGTTGTAACAATGTGTCAAAATCTTTTTTTTTTCATGTCCGGAAAATGGCAGTTTTTTTTTAGTGAGCGATCAAATCAAAATAAAAACATTTCACAGACAGGAACGTGGAAAATGCACTAATGATGATGATGTTTCAATACTGACGAGAGATAAGTTATCATCTCAACCTTAAAATTATTACAATGTCTTATTTTAATAATAATAATGTTTAAATTAGTGTCAGAAAAAACACACCCCATATAGTTTTTTTAACACCCCAATTCTGATAACAAAACAATGATCTTTTTAAATTACTCAATTTTAATAACACATTGTAACAACAATGTCAAAATCTTTTTTTTTTTCATGTCCGGAAAATGGCAGTTTTTTTTGAGTGAGCGATCAAATCAAATAAAAACATTTCACAGACATGAAGCCGTTAAATTCCAAATCTGCTCAAGGCAACGTTGACATAAAGAAAAGAAAATACTTGTCTAGCCCAAAGGAAACACTGGGAATATTACATGTTCAAGAAGCACTTGAACATCATGATTTCATTCTTCAGTGGAGATAGAAGCAGCAGTAGTCTTGTTGTATGCCTCAAGTTCCTTCTTGTACATCTCCATGGCTTCAGCAGCCTTGTCATTCCACATTTTCCTTCCTTCTTCACTCAATTCCTAAGTTCATCATCCACATCAAAATTTTAAAACTGGGGTTAAAAATTTCAAAAGAACTTCTTCAATAAACCAAAGAACATGTAGGAAAAAGGTTAAAAATTTGAACAAATTTGGACATTAGGAATTATATGAATATATATATACCTTCCATTGAAGTGAAATCTTTAAATTGAGGGTCTTGTTATCAATGCCCGGTTGCTCTTCCAATAAATTCTTCCTTGCTTCTTTGCTGCACGTAAGCACATAAATTAAGCAATTTTCTTGAAACCTTCCTTCAATTATAATTAAAAGACATTTAACTTTTTTTTTCCCCGAGATATTACCTGAACAAAAGGTACGAGGAAGCTGGCTTCTTAGGCTTGTTGGGGTCAACCTCCTTCTTCTTCTTCTTCTGCCGATTCTCCTTTGTTTTCTGTAGATTATTCAATCAAAAAAGTAAGCAATGTTGGGTCCATAATTGGGCTAAACGACAAAAAATAATCAACTCGAATTCATGGTCAAGAACCTTGATTATATTGTCAGTTTTCTCCTTCTTCTTGAGCAGTTGCAAGGCTTCTTGCTTCTGAAGTTTCATCTGCTCTGCCTCTTCCTTCCTGAGACTGGCAACTTCCTCTTCCTTTTTCTGTTTGTAGATTTCCATCTCTTGCAAATACTTCTCCTTGTTCTTCTGCGCTTTCTTCTCATAAGGCGCTCTATTTTTCTCGCTCATGTTCTTCCATTCTTCACCGGTGATCTTTGCCACTTCGGTAACACTCTTGTTCTCCGCCAGTAGAGTTGCTCGCCTCTCGTTAGTAAACAGGAAAAACGCCGACATGGGTTGTTTGGGTTTCAGAGGATCCTTTTCCTTCCTGAAAACAAAAAAAAAAAAAAATGTGTGAGAAAACTCCATCATTACTATTATCATAACGAATGAAGATATATACAGATAGAAATGTGATTGGAATTTTACTTGGTCTTCTTGTTCTCCTTTTCAGCTTCCTGTTTGAATTGAAGGTATTGTTCAAGCAACTCCATGGCTGTCTTTTGCTTGTGCTCATCTTCAAAGAGCTTCATCGCTTCGGTCTCGCGCTTCTCTTTCGCGATTACCTGCAAGTAAGCTTCTTTCTCAGCTTGGTACCTCTCCTCATAAGGCTTCTTTTCTTCAGCAGTAATATTCTTCCACTTAGCCCCCAGAATGTTTGAAATTTCCTTGAACTCTGCCTCGGGATTCTCCTTCTTTATCTGCATTTAAAAAACCCAAAGAAATTAATAAAAATAATCTCAATTCTCAAAAAATTGTTTTTCTTTCTCAGCTTTTATTACCTCATTCCATTGGTCTTTGCACCATAAGATGTATGATGGAGATGGCCTTTTCTTCTCCGGTTTCTTCTTCTTCTCTTTCTTGTCTTGTTCCTTGTCTTGCATTGATTGGAAAATTGGGAATGTCTGTAGAAAGATTATTATTCACATATATTATTCACGCTTTCAGATCTTCTCTACAAAACTGAAATAAGCACAAAACCACAAAATTCTTGGTACAACACCATAAATTCATTTTCCCGAGAACCAAGCGAGCAAAAATGCAATATAAACAAAAAAACACCAAAAAGTCGAACAACCCCAAAAACTTGAATCAAGAATCACAAAATCAAGTCCGAAATCTGCCAGACAGTACAAAATGCACCATGAAAATTCTCAAGGAAAAGAAAAAGTAAGCCTCTCTCTTCCCACATTTTCTCACTAATAAAACGAAAGGAAATGCAAAACTAAGAAGAAATACGAACAAATGGTCTTAAAAATGGATCAAGATAAACAAAAAGCACCAAAAATAACCCAAACAATTGAATCAAGAATCATCAAATTGGATCAAGAAAAACAAAGAAGCGTTAAAAATAACCTACTTAATTCAATCAAGAATCATCAAACCAATCAAATCAAGAAGAAGACTAACCATGGTGGGTTTGAACTCCTTCAGCTTCTGCAATTTCTTCAACTCAACCTGGAGTTTCTCCTGCTTTTTCCCTCGGGTCTCGAGCTCTTCCTCCTTCATCTTCAGCATCTCGTCCTTCTCCTTCAGAAGCTCCTCCGTCTTCTCCTTCTCGATCTTCAGCTGCTGAAGCATCTCCTGCATCTCCAGCAACTCCTTCTCGAACGACGACGCCGATGCCGCCGTAGATTGCTTCGCCTGCTGTTGTTTCTTCGACGCGGCGGCGCCCGATTTTCCCTTCTTTGGCTGCGACAGGCTCTCGTGGTTCTCCTTCGTCGGATCATCCGTCAACATCGGTGGAGGGATTGGGCACGCCGAGGTCGGCGGCAGGTCGGTGTCGACGGGGGCGTTCTTCTCTTTCAGGGCCTTCCGGCTGTTCTTCGGCTTCTTTGGAAAGGCTACTGGTTCGGCAGTTGCAGTGTCAGCCATGGCTGGAGAGAGAGAGAGATAGAGAGAAAGAGAGAGGAGAGAGAAAGGGAGGGTTTGGACTGTGGAGGACGGGGGTTTGGGGTGGTTTGGTGAAGGAAAGAGACGGGGGTTTTATATAGAGGAGGTGGTGGGTTGGAGAGAAACCCAACGGTCGGATTTTTCAAATTCAAATTTAGTTTTTGGGAATGAAGAGTTGTTTGAGATCCAGGCGCTGGGGGTGGGGGATCTTTTGATTTAATTTGACCGTTGGTGGAAATACCATAAAAGAACCTGGTGGATAAATATTTCCTCCTCTTCTTTTCTGAAAACTAGTTGAAATTCTTTAAAATAATTTAATAATGTTCCATATGTTTAAATTATTATAAAGTATTTGTTTAAAATTTGATTTTAATTATTCTACATCTATTACAATAAAATGTTAATACTTCCATAAAAAGATTATTATTACCAATGATTTATTTATATTCATTGACAATTAAAATAAAAAAGTTAAGCAACCATATTTGACAGAACCCAATGTGTTTCTTTAGAATTGGGATGCAAGAACCTTCCCACAAGCAATCAACCTTTTAACTTCTTTCAAAAAGAACAAAAGAAAAAAGGAGAAGAAAACGAGTAATGATTGTTGACGTCTCCAAATGCAAAACAACATGTGAAACGCATAAAAAATACAAAGAAACTCTTTCGGATGAAGTCTAACGAAACGTACAATGAAAAACGCACACACAAAAATCTAAATGGAACTTATTCCCTCTTAGCAATGATGTTTAAGATTATACATAACATTCTTTTGCTTTGGTTCTTGACAAAATAAAATATCTTTCCTTTTTAACGAACAAAAGAAAAGAAATGTCATATACAATCCTTTCTAATAAAGTTACTTTTCTTGCGGGGAAAGAAAATCTTGCCACAAATAAATACGCAATAATACAGAAAGTTGGCCAGAAGGAAAATTGTCCTTCAAATTTAAAAACAAAAAAAAGAAAAGAAAAGGAAACTGAAATTGAAAAGAAGAAAATCTCTACCAAAAATTAAAAAAGGAAAAAGGGATTTTCCTATCAATCGGGGGAAAAAAAAAAGAAAGAAAAAAAGAAGTGTCTTCTCATTTAGTGTAGAAAGTATGCAGCAAAATTTCATTTCTAAAACTCTTTCTGCTGAGCCTTAGGGGGGCAATTAACAAAAAGCGAAAATGACTCCAAACTGTCGTAGAATTTCAAATTTGTCTCTGAAAGTAAGCACCTTGCAGATAATCTTGAATATTGAAGTCCCTCACAACCCACCATGGCCATCTAACAAAATGGAGGTGGAACCACAGCTCACTTTATAAATAACAAAATCAAAGTCTAGGAATTTAAATAATGATGGCTGAAATTTTAATTAACACCATATGAGCTCGTTGTAATCTTCTAACTACACCATACGGAGATGAAAATTAAAGACAGGCCGTTTCATACTTAGAGCTTTCACTTGTGGGAATAACAACCTGGCAATGGCATGTATGAACAAGAGTGATTTAAGTCCCTCACAACCCACCATGGCCATCTAACAAAATGGAGGTGGAACCACAGCACACTTTATAAATAACAAAATCAAAGTCTGGGAATTTAAATAATGATGGCTGAAATTTTAATTAACATCATATGAGCTCGTTGTAATCTTCTAACTACACCATGCGGAGATGAAAATTAAAGACAGGCCGTTTCATACTTAGAGGTTCACTTGTGGGAATAACAACCTGGCAATGGCATGTATGAACAAGAGTGATGAACTTTATGGTGCATAGAAGGTTGGGATTTATCATTTGTCAAAATCATGGCAAGAGTAACCCTTTACAAGAATCCCAAGATGCAATTTTCACTTTACATGGAGAGGACATTTCGTGAGGCATTCAACCTGGCTGATTTTCTTAGCCATTTACCAGCATCTCCATTATCACATCATTCCATAAGTCTATCGGCCCCGGTAAGCACCAATGCAGACAATCATTCTGTACCTTTGCATTTTTGTCATGAGCAAATGGATGATACCCTCTGTAGGGACCCGGATGCCCATCAGGCCTTAGCAACGAAAGCGGGTTTACATCGAGGAGTTTCAGATTCACCCCATTAGCAGATGCCTTTTCTGTTACATTCTTGAATTCTTCCAATTCGATATCACGCAGAATCCTGTGTATGTCCTTCAGTTGAAACTCACCTTCTTTAGCTGGAGATGTCCTCTTGCACGTCCCACCATTAGACCACTCCCCGTTCTCAAAATGATCTGGCGTTGACGTCCTAAAGAGAATTGAGCCTTTGTGGCCAGATGTTGCTATGTAGTTCATAACAAATCTCAGTGCTTTGCGGTAAGCAAAATCGAAACCCAACTCCTCGAAGTTCCTTTTAGGACAGTAATGGCAGCCCACCACTTCATTGTTCTCATAGTAGATTGAAGATTTGAGAAACCATTTCCCAGTTGAGATTATCATGTAGTCCAAGTTCTGGTAAAGATCGGTCCATTTACTGTCAAGTTTGTCAAGATGCAGCTTGACTTCAGATGTTGAAACACCGTTATAATCTTCGAAGATGGCAGCTCTTACAAGAAAAGGAGACCAAATAACAGAGATAGTCAAATTATATGTGCGAAAGTGCCATCTTCTGGACTTATATTCCTTGTCATGGTAGACATCAATGGGTCGTTCCACCTGAAGGGCACACAAGATATATAATGAAAAGTCTATTTCAAAAAGGATCGGAATTTGGGACAGATTACATTTGCTACATCGCGTTGGCTGAAAATAAATATCTACCATGACGACACAAACAGCATTGTCTTTAGAATATCACTCGTCATTGTTATTAGAGAACAAAAACAAAAACAAATGCAGGCTCCAAATTCATCTTTTGCAATTGGAAAGAAGACCCTTTTTTTTTTTTTTTTGAAAATTTAGAAACCCCTTAGCTTCTCGAAAGCAAAGACAATTTTCACATTTGACATAACCCGTGAAGATTTTTGCATTTGAGCTCTACAGATTACATGTACAATTATGATAAATCAACAAAGCAAAGAGATGTTAACCATCAACGAAATAGTGACTTTCAAACATTTGAGGCATTATATTCAGGTAGCACACTTGCCAAGAACACAGACCAAAGGCAAGGCCCAATTATTGACTATTGGATGAACGACCACAAGGGATAAAGATAATATTTAGTTCAAACAAAATCTTTTAAAGAAAAAAGGAATTGTCAATTCATATTCCAAGTTGCGAAGGAAAAATTCACGCCCTTATCGAACACAATATCCCAGGAAGTAACCTTCTACACCAAAAGGTTCCTCGTATGAATGAAAAAATTTATGGCAAAGAACAACAATGGAGAATCACATAGACGTTAAAATACCTCTAGAACATAAGCAAGCTACACAAACTATTGATGAACCGTGTACGAAAATAACTAAAAGAACCAAATTGCATATAGTTTCTCAAACAAATTAAGCTTTAGAAACATCAATGTGGAAGATTGAGATCTTCATCAAGTCTTTCACTAGCCAAACTCTAGTGAATCAACAGTCAACTAGATCAAGATCAACATTAATTATGTGCACTCTAACAATCACAAAATTCATAATCCTCTCAATCCATGGTAATACCAAAACGAAAAAGGAGTAAGAACTCAAATCTACAGCATAATGCCCATCCTACTTAGGTCGCTACTTGTGCATGTATGTACTACCCAGGTGGTTATACCTATAATGACTCACCGCTTTATCCTCAGAATTACAGCAAAAAAGCACAACTTGAATCCCATGACCATCTTAGAAAGGTTATACAATGGCTATACTGGTTCCAAGTCCAACCATTTTGAAATACTACACCGATAGAAATAGCTAAAGCGGACTAAGTAAAACAAGTCTTACAAATATCAGAAACGAAATAAATGGAAAAGGGACTAGCTGAGTTTCAATTCAAACAATCATCCAAAGAACCAAATTTGATTAATTATGTTAAACAATTTAAACAAATATACCGTTGATAGCATGCACAGCAATGACTGGACATGGTTGCGAGATATTGAATCGCCAATCAATGCCCATGCTTTGTTCCTCATCATCTCAAGGAATCTCTCAGGATCAAACTTTGGTAAGTCACAATCTCTTGGATTCCACCTCCAATACAAATACCCTGTATCAGGCCTACCATTTCTCATGCAATTCTGGTGCCCTTCAATAAAGGGACAACTCTTATTGGTGTAAATAGGACCAGCGGGGTTTGGAACCCAATCCCCAGTAAAAAGATCACATTTTCCTGCACAGAAGTTCGGCACAAATAGAGTACAATAATTTCAAATGGAGAACTTTACAAAACTAGTCCAATTAATTCAATAACTATTATGCAAAAACCAAAACATTATAATTAGAACTCAATCCATACTCAATTCATAACTGGATTAGCCACACTATTGGAGTAGAACTACCTGTCTTTTGAGGTATTTGTTCTTCATTTTCCTGAACATCTAGAGAATCCAGTGGTCATTTAAAAAAAAAAAGGTTAAAAATTAACGTAATTTGAGGTAAAATCCAAAGCATGACAATCCCATTAAAAATTAACATAATTTAAGGTAAAAAGATCACACTTTCCTACACCAAATTTGGGCACGAAAAGATTAATAAAATCTCAGCCGTAGAACTTTGGTAACTAATTTAAATCATTCAACAAACCAAAAAACTACATGCAAAAACCAAAACATGACAATTAGATCTCAATCCACACAATTCACAACTAAATTAGCCACACTTTTGGGGTAGAATTACCTGTGTTTTGAGGTATCTGTTCATCATTTTCTTTAACTTCTAGAGAATTCGGTGGCCCTAATCAACAAAGCACTCATTAAAAATTTACATGATTTAAGGTAAAAGCCCAAAGCATGACAAACAAATCCCATCATTATCTTCATCATTCACCATTGATGACAAATTAGATCTCATTTTCCACTAAATTTAATATAATATGTAAGAACAGTTTTTGAAGTGTAAAAAGTTACCAGTTTGCTGCATTTGGTCAACAGAAGCCGGTGGTTCTGAAGCGACAACTTTCTGAGGGAGATGGGTTTCTTGAGGAAAAGGGGTTTCAATTTCCGGAGAAATGTCTGTGGAGCGAATGAAAAGAAGACGAAAAGCAAGACCCATTAACAGAAAACCAACCGCGACCTTCACAAGCAACTGATTTTGCTTGTGCGGAAACCATGGCTTCCAGTTCAGTAACTTCATCTCTCTCTCTCTCTCTCTCTCTCTCTCTCTCTCTCTCTCTCTCTCCTGTGCTTATTTTAGCTTGTAGCTGAATCTGGGTCTTGAACCAAAATGTCCAGAATCAAATAAATAAAGTTTTTTTTTTTTTCTTTTTCTTTTTCCTCTGTTTGTTGGTTCTCTGTTGGCTAGGCTGGTATATTATTATACAGAAAAAAGTAATTAAAAAAAAATGTTGGACTGGATCAAGGTGACCGACATTACAAGGCCAAGAAGTGTAGATGAATATTGAGGTCCTGATAAGTTTTTTCCCGTAAATTTATCGACAGATGACTGTTATTAACTTATGTCTCATTTAGTATTATTACTATTACATTTGCTTTGAAAATTTTGTTTAATGGTTTTTCTCTATAAAATAATATTCTTCAAAACGTAAATTGCACTCAAATTCTTTGCTAATCTGAGTTTATCGAGTATAAAATAGTGAATTCATATAACATGTAGCTAAATCCAAATTTTACCTCCCCTAAAATGAAGAGAGAGAAGAGAGGTTTGAATGGTACATTTTCTTTTCGATACTTAATAATAACTTGATGTGCAAATATGATTAATAATCACTTTTTAAATTGATGATCATGTGACTTTTTTTTGTGTCTTTACACGTTTATTAGTGGGAATATGAGAGCTATTGATTTATTTAGAAGGCTTTTTTTGTGCCTTTACACGTTTATTAGTGGGAATATGAGAGCTATTGATTTATTTAGAAGTGTTTAAGGGAAAAACAAAAGGGAAGTTTACAAGTACATATACTAAATTCATTAGTAATAAGGAAGCTTTTGAAAAACAAAGTAAACAAGAAAAAGGTAGCTGGCACTTGGGACTAAGAACTCAGTTTTGGTGATTATTATTATTTTTTTGTATAATTGATTGGTCTGTCTCTGATATTTGCCTAAACAATGGATTTTGAAGGGATAGAGATAGTTCATACTTCATAGTAGCTTGTAATACAGAAGCCACTTTTTGCTGTCCCTGTTTAGACCGAATTCGTGATTAAAAAAAAAAAACAATAAAAATTGACTAAATGGAGAATCTTTCTTGTTAGATGAGCGTCTTTTGCAACCGGTTTTATTTATTAAAAATTAAAAATTTTCTCACAAAAATAATATTTTTTTATTTGAGTATGGAAAGCCTGATGAATAAAATAACAAACAAATAAATATTTTTTTGATAGCAGATCAAGAAGTGTTGTTGTTAATAGTTCTTAGTATTTAAGCAAATAAGTGTTGGTTTAATCATCTAGGATTATAGTATTGTTGCCAACAAACAGAGGCCCCATGGAGTGTTGTAACTTCTCTGTCAATCTCATATATGGGCTATGTGTAACACTTGGAACACATAGCTACGGTATAAGATATTAACAAATTAGTCCTCGTCACTTTAATCTGAAATAGACCCTTAAACATCATTGTGGAGAGAGAGAGAAAGAGAGTGGGGGAATTGGTGTTACCACAAATATAAACTTTTTTTAAAAAAAAAAAAAAAGTTTGTTGCCAACAAACAGAGGCCCCATGGAGTGTTGTAACTTCTCTGTTACCACAAATATAAACTTTTAAAAAAAAAAAAAAAAAAGACAAATATAACAAGTTATGGTATGTAGCTATGTGCTTTTTTGGTAGAAAAAATAGCCATATACTGCATTGAATTGAATAGCTACATAAAAGCAGAAGACACTCCTACATATCTTGTCCAAACCGTTACAGGACCACACAATCGTTGGGGTCGTTGGTTCCAAAATGTGGTGGTTTCAACTATTTAAAAAGTGTGATTTGGAACATAAACTGGTTTCAAACATCACAGCATGAGTTAAACTGGGGTCAAAATTCGCTCATCCAAATATCTGTTCGAAATTGGCTGATGGTTCAAACCACATGAATCTGTGAGCCAGACGGTGTTTTTAACGTTTCAACCTCTTCTAGCAGGAAAATAAATAAAAAGAAACTTTTGTTTCTTTCTTACCACAGATTCTTTGTTTTTGTGTGTTTCTCTTTTGGTAGCGAAGCGAGTCCCTTAAGGAAGCTGCTAAAAAGAATTAGTCCTAACACTTTACATGAAAAATCCAATGCCCTTGAGTAATACAAAGAGAAGATATACATAAAAGCCTGAAGGACAACAAAATACAAATTGGTAAGGGTTTGGACCTTGGATCTACTAATAGCCAAAGCCATCTAAGGATAACAAAATGCATCACTCAAACGCCTGGGGGTAATAGTCTCATCTATCTCAATCTACATGACAATCTATACCAACAAGCAAATATTTTGGCAAGAAGTTTTTCTGCAACAAACAAATACAATAGTTCCAAGGATTTTGGATCTGCTCTACAAAGAAAAATTGAAGAACCTGCAATCAATGAAGGCTATGAAAATCCCACGAGCTAGCTCCGAATCACGAGACCATTTTTTGGTACTTTCATGCCAAATCCAAGCTTTGTCCTCTCAACTCTGCTCAGCAAAGTGTCCATAATAATTAGTATGGAAACCACAAGGCTATATAACACGTGCTAAATCGGTAGTTAACTAAATGCAGTATATAGGACTTAGACTTACGTCGGAGCAAGTCTTCCAAGCTTGTCAAGCTCCTCGCCAGTGTCCTCATCCATGACTTTCCCCGAAATCTCGATAATGTAAAACTTTTCACTTGTGGTTGGCAGTCCCCTTTCCGCGAGTAAGTCTAGATCTCTCTGATTGAGCTCTCTCCCGTTTACGTAGACGCCAGTGTTTCCGGCGCCACAATTTGTTGGCATAGGATAATTGAATTCTTCAATAAATGGCTGAAGGTAACAGAAACAAGAAAACGCTTTGTTCATATATTCGACAGTGTGGATAACTGACAGAGATTCAGAAGTCGAAAATCCATTTAACTCACGGGAATTATGCCGAGGCAAGGTTGACCCATGACTCCCCAGAATCCAGCTCTAAAGTCATACCTGGTTAAAAAAGAGCATGAATCTTTCAATCAAAAGAAAAATAGTATCTCTCAAATAACTTAAAACATTGAGAGGAATCTCAATCAAAGGGATATTCGGTTTTTTATAAAAATGAAATAAAGGGATTTCATAATTCCATACAATATTAACATTTTCCTCGCTAACCTTATGTTCGTCCAATCTAATAGTGAACTATAATGTTCATGAATTGCTTTTAGAAATTTATAACATACACGATTTGAAATGTTAATTCAAATACCTAAGCTTTAGTATCCAGACTCACCAATAATCTCCGGGACGAATTGGGCCAGCAAACTTTTCAGCTCGTTTTACCACACGATCTGGTAAAGGTTGCCCATTAATAAAAACCTTAGGCTTTTCGCCCATACCTCCATAATTAGATTTTGAGAAATCTCGAAAACTCTTCCTGATGAAACCTGCGAAGAAGGTATCACTGCCTTTGCTGAACTTGAATCGATCTTCTTCTTTACATATTTCTGTGGAGTCTTGAGACAAACTGCTATTTTGGTATTCCTCAAAAGAAACATCCAACTCAGTGGCCTCCATTGTATCTTTCACCGAATTTTCTCCCATGCTGACCATACTGAAGACCTCATTGTCATGCTCCATACGTTTACTCTTGTTTCCTTGCCCATATCTGTTCATGGCATGTTTAGGACTATCAGACTCCTGCCAGACAGGTGAACGTGGAGGTTTTGGAGACAGAACATTCTTTAAGGGCATCTCAGCAGATACAGAAACATCTTCTCGAGAAATCACACAATCAAAACTCTCGTCTTCCCTGGAAGAAATGGAAGATGACAAAGTATGGCCTCGCCTCTTCTCGAACTCATCTAAGTTCAATCTCTCATCTTGTACCAGTGCTGACTGGAAGTTATAACCAGACTTTTTAAAATCTTCCGTGCAGGAGCTAGTGCCATTAGCATTCAGAGAACCAGAACTTACAAGGCTGTCATTTGACACCTCTTGAGAATTTTCGTCTCCCTCAGCAGACAAACGTTTGAGTTCCGAAGGGTCAGACATGATAAGCTTCTTATTCTCCATTTCTAGCAAGATCACAGCTGAACAGGCACCACATCGTAGTCTTTGCTCATTACTGCCTGATATTCCAAGCTTTCTGGGCAGTTTCAGCAACTCAAAACATTTGTGACAAGTAATGAATGGGGCACCACCTGCAATGGGATGGTAAAGCCGTCCAGTCTTACAGGTTGCAGCTACCCTCCTTGGTTGACCATAACTATTGTGTTCTGATTCAAGATCACCGGGCCATCTTGTATGCAGATGTTGGTGAAGTGATTCCGACGGAGGGCAACTTTGTGGCCCGAACCCAACAGGATCACCATGACGGTAAAAATTTGGATTGATTGGAGCTTTAGTGTGTGGGACACTCGGAGGAACCTGCAAATTCTGGTTGTAGCAGCTCAAGCAAGCACATGTAGGAGCATGGGAAAAGGTTTCATGTGGATATGATGCAATGGACTCTACTAAATCAAAAGTCCTGTACTGTCCAGAATAGTATTCATGAGGTGATACATGTTGGTATTGATGGGGCGGCAGACGGTGAGGCTTTCTTGTCAGTTGTGGCTGAAAAGGATCATCATATTCTGGAATCTTATTCAAGCTATGTTTTCTAGGAGGATAAAGGTTATGCATATCAACATGATGGTGATTCGTATGAGGAACCGATCCGTGGCTATAGTTGTAATGAGGAGGCCTAGGGACCTGCTTATCCAGGGCAGGTGGCTGCATTGAAACATTATAGGGAACCTGAATTCCGTAAGGATAAGGCAAAGTCCTATCCGTAGGTTCCCTTTCTTTCGGTTTATCAGCGACATGATAAGATCTGCTAAGTTGCTCCTTCAACTCATCCAACTTCCTAAGAATCTCGGCACGTTCCTGCTCCAAATTCTTTACTCCATCAGGCACTTTGACATGTTGACCACTAATTATCTGCCTTTCATGGTCACGAAACAAATACGGGTCATAGTTTGAAGTCCCCTCATCAGGATAACCAAAAGTTCGTGCTCTTTCCTGATCAGAAACTGAGTTGTTCCCATATAATCCCTCAAGCCTACTACCTCTTTCTACACCTGACCAACCCATTCCCGCCCTCGATCTCAAGGACCCCGTAAACCTATTCACTTGCGTTGAAATTTCTTCTAAACTCGAATTCACAGACTCGGATCTGCTCATGTCCCTGTATCGACCAGTTCCACAAGTCCTGGGATCCATCTGGTGTTCCGACAATCGGGTATACCTATCAACAGATCCATATTCTCTCTCTTCAACACACTGATCAAGTCTTAAATCTTTGTACTCTTCACTAACACTTGTATCTTTACCAACCAAAACCTGTTTCTTTTCTGTTCTTTGCAAACCACCACGAATGAAATTAGCCTTTTTTTCCACAAAGGCTCTCTCTTTTCTCCTAACATGCTCATTCCCACTATCCTCCATTTCACTCTCGGAAGCAAAATTTGAATTATCACTCCCTTTCTCTACTAACTTCTCTAATTTCTCAGAATCCCCACCACCCTTTTCCTCATCTGACTTTTCAGACAACATATCATTATCTGCGTATCTCTTTTTTGCTGCAATTATGGGGAAAAAAAGGAAAAAGAAAAGTACTCAGAATCACTATAAAGGTCCTTGATTTGCTCACAAATTGCAAACGCAACAAGAAGAAAAGGAGGGCAAAAAATGGAAACTTTCGGACAGACTAAAACAAGAGTTTGGATTAACAAAGCAGTGCATGTTTGCGAAATTCCCTTTTCCTTTTCTTTACAAATTTCTTATGATATTTTAGCAATAGTAAACAAAGAAATAGGGAGCAAAGAGAAAAATAAATAATAAAGCAAAAGAGATCTTCAAAAATAATAATAATAAAAATAAAAATAACCAAAGGAAAAGATATGAACATACCTCGAAGAATTGCACCACAACCACCACACTGATAAACAGAATAATCTGGAAGTTCTGGTAATAGATTATCACATTTAGGGCAACGAACTAACCTAACTTTTGACCCTTCAGCCATTAGTAAGTATTACATGAACCATAAAAAACCGAAGACCCAAAACCAGAAAACCACCCAAATGCTCAAGAAAAGCTCAAAAACCTCGAAATCCGAAAACTTTTTATTTTTACAGCAGAAAACTGATAAAGACAACAAAGGAAAAAGGCTTTTACTTTAGGATCAAAACATTTTAGCCATGAAAATCAAAGACAAACCAAGATAAGTATAGAACAAAAAGTTCAACTTTGAGCTTAGATGTTGATCAAAAGAAGATCTCTCAAAGTCTCTCACACAAATAACTAACTTCTTTCCCGTACTGTGATTTTCCCCAGCGAGAAGGAAAAAATAAATAAATAACAGAAATGCTTTGGTCTTTAGTCTTTAACTAAACTGAGACTCTGCGGTTCCCGATGAAATTGTAACCTTGGAATTGGAGGGAAGGAATGAATAATAATCTTCACTGGTCTTTCTCTCCGATTCCCGACAAATTTCAGAGAAAAAAAAAATATATATAAATATATATATATTTTATGCTCATGTTATGTTACTGGCTGGCAGCAATGCAATGCTAAGAACGTCGTCGTTTTCAACAGCAAATCATCGCTTTCTTGAATAAGCCCACGCGTCTGCGTTGACAGAAGAGAAGAGATAAACCACCACATGTGTACTAGATGATCTTGAACGAGCAAAACGTTGACCACGGATACGACTCGGTTTTAACTTTTCAAATCTATCAGGAAAAAAAAAAAAAAAAAACTATATTTGACTTATAAAAAAAAAACTATATTTGACAAAATCTAGTTAAAAAACTATGCCAATGAGAATATTATGTTGGGGGACCAAAAAAAAACTCTAATTTAAATTGATAAAAATATAAGAATTTGATATAACTCGGTACTATCTGTAGTATTTTTTTTTCCCTTCCCGTATCAAAAAAAGCTCAAGATACTGATAGTTTATTTTAGGAGAATTTTGGACGAGTATAAAAAATACTCTTTACTTTTAATAAATTGCATAAGTTGTAGATTCTTATCAAATTTTATTAAATTATTATTTTTTAAAATTTGATATGATCAGATTCTAAATTTTTTTTTTTTAATATTAAAGACTCTGATGTAGTTTGATTTTCTAGTTGTTCTATTACTACTGTTTAAATTTAGTGGTTAGTAGGTAAATTGGGTGGGGACGTGGGGTTGATATTTTGACTTTGGCATTAACAAAATAAATAACAAATAAATAAAGTTTAGATAACGACAATGACAGTTCAACTTTTGATTTGTGATGACTAATGACTGGGTAAATTCTGCTAATTTGAGGTTAGATTCTTGTTGAGATTTTGTCTTTTGGCTGTATTAATTAGCTAGTGGATGTCAATTAGCAAACAAATACTTTTTGTAATACTATATTATGCGTTGTTCTTAGTTTATTCCATTTGTAATGACTGTGATGCTTTCAATATGCCAAATACTGTTATTGCCCAAATGGAGCTCATTAATTTTAAACTTTGTCGCACAATGATGACACCCGTTTGGCTGGTTCTTCTTAGTCTAATTCATGAATGAGATACAATATAAACGTGTGAAATTTATTATAAAGCAATGGAATCCCAAAAGTCCTTATGATTGGGAATTACACTTTTTTATTTTATTTTATTTTATTTTTCCTGAATCAGTCTTCACTACCTCAATTATAACCATTTTTTTAACGCTCTTAACATTCCTAACCCCATTATTCTACTTTTCAATATATATCAATCTAGAACCTTCTTATATGCCAAAACAACTGGCCACTTATGATAGATATATCAATTTAACGGCATGTTTATTTATTCGTAATTAGAGTGAATAAGATTTGGAGTGGACACAAATCGGAGTCAAAAATCAGAATCAAAATAAGCTATTTATTTAAGTCTCGTTCATTTTACTGATTCGAGTTTTCAGTTTTAGGTTTTTACAGTAAAAAGTTCTCAGAAGTTTATTTAAGTCTCGTTCATTTTACTGATTCGAGTTTTCAGTTTTAGGTTTTTACAGTAAAAAGTTCTCAAAAAATGTCACATCTAACTTTTTCTGCTACAATAAAAAGTTTTCAGAAAATGTCACATCTTAGCTCGAATTGAAAATTCAAATCTGTGAAGTGAACGAGGTCTTAGATTTCAGGAATCGTAGTCAGAATCAGTCTCGATCCCATTCATGCGTTTACTTAGGCCCAAAATCAGAATAAACTATTATAAATTTACTTACATATCCTCTTAGTAGATTTTTATGTGTTGAATTTAAAAAAAAAATTGTATATTATGCTAACTATATTAATATTAAGATAACTAATTAGTAATTAGATTTTTTAAATCACACCTAATTAATCCTATAAATTAGGATAACTAATTAGTAATTAGATTTTGTTAATTACTCTCTTCTTTCGTGCTAAAAGTTGAGACATGGTTACTCTACATTATCAACATATGAAATTAGATTTAGCATTGCACTGCATATTATAAAAAAACAAAAATCAGCTTAGGATATAGATTGAAAAATGAAAAGCAATAGGCATAACACAAGAATCAAATTATAAGCATGAAAAAAAAACTATTTTAGTTTCATTTAATTATTTGCATTGATATGAATTCGTCCATGACACTAGTAAGAAAGAAAGAAAAGAAAAGAAAAATATCAAATGAAGTGAGCAAGGAGATACGAGAGGCGTGAAAGTAAATTAGGACATTTTTCAATTTTTTTATTTTCTATTCACAAATTTGTTATTAGTAGAATTAAGGATAAATCTTAATTAATATTTACTATTAGGTTGAGAGTGTCAATCCGGTGGGGGTGAGGGAAGTACCAATCTCATTTCTCATTCTTAAATTGGTGTGAGATTCACACATTTTCACTCTCATTTCAAGATAAAAATGAGTAAAAAAATATGAGGTTGATTCTGATTCCCAATTCCCATTCCCCATAAGTAAACATGTCATAAGAGTATCAGGATACTATTTGGGCATGGCTATGCCCCTTCACACACAATCTCTATTTGGATACAGGAAACATCAAACAATGATTAAGAAAAGCCTCACGTGCGTCATGATATTGTTTTCCTTCACTTTTCTGACGCCGTTAAATAAATTTGACAAGTCGTGAAGCTTAATTAATGAGATGTTTATTTTTTGTATTCGTCCTTAATTTTGAATCATGATTCATGATTCTCTAAAATATTTTTCTCTCATAAAAAACACACGTAAAACGAAAATAGTTCTAAATCATGATTCTGAATTCATGAACTAAACGTCCACTTTTAGCTGTATTAATTAGCTAGTGGATGTCACTTAGCAAACAAATACTTTTTGTAATACTATATTATGTGTTGTTCTTAGTTTATTCCATTTGTAATAACTGTGATGCTTTGACTATGCCAAATACTGTTATTGCCCAAATGGAGCTCATTAATTTTAAACTTTGTCGCACAATGATGACACCCATTTGGCTGGTTCTTCTAGTCTAATTCATGAATGAGATACACTATAAACGTGTGAAATTTATTATAAAGCAATGGAATCCCAAAAGTCCTTATGATTGGGAATTACACTTTTTTATTTTATTTTATTTTATTTTTCCCGAATCAGTCTTCACTACCTCAATTATAACCATTTTTTTTTTACGCTCTTAACATTCCTAACCCCATTATTCTACTTTTCAATATATATCAATCTAGAACCTTCTTATATCCCAAACCAACCGGCCACTTACGATAGATATCAATTTAATGGCATGTTTATTTATCCATAATCAGAGTGAACATGAATCAGAGTGGATAAGATTTGAAGTGGACAAGAATCAGAGTCAAGAATCAGAGTCAGAATAAGCTGTTTACTTAGGTTCCAGGAATCGGAGTCGGAATCAGGCCCGATCTCATTCACGCGTTTACTTACGCCCAGAATAAGAATAAACTGTTATAAATTTACTTACTCAGTTACCCTATTAGTAGATTTTGTGTGTTGAACTTAAAAAAATAAATTATATATTATGCTAACTATCTTAATATTAAGATAACTAATTAGTAATTAGATTTTTTTAATCATACCTAATTAATCATCTAAATTAGGATAACTAATTAGTAATTAAATTTTGTTAATCACTCTCTTCTTTCATGCTAAAAGTGGAGATATGGTTACTCTACATTATCAACATATAAAATTAGATTTAGCATTGCATTGCATATTTTAAAAAATAAAAATCAGCTTAGGATAAAGATTGAAAAATGAAAAGCAATAGGCATAACACAAGAATCAAATTATAAGCATGAAAAAAAAAACTATTTTAGTTTCATTTAATTATTTGCATTGATATGAATTCATCCATGGCACTAGTAAGAAAGAAAGAAAAGAAAAAAAAATATCAGAAGAAATGAGTAAGAAGATATGAGAGGTGTGAAAGTAAATTAGGGTACTTTTCAATTTTTTACTTTTTTCTTTTTTATTCACAAATTTGTTATTAGTAAAATTAAGGGTAAAATTGTAATTAATATTTACTATTAGAATTGAGAGTGCCAATCCGGTGGGGGTGGGAGTAGTGCCAATCTCATTCTTCAATTATAAATTAGTGTGAGACCCACACATTTTCACTCTCATTCTAAGATAAGAATTAATAAGTAAATATAAAGTTGATTCCGATTTTCAATCCTCATTCCTTATAAGTAAACATGCTATAAGAGTATTCGGGTACTATTTGGGCATGGCTATGCCCCTTCACACACAATCTCTATTTGGATACATAAAACATCAAAAGTCTCACGTGCGTCATGATATTGTTTTCCTTCACTTTCGGACCGTCAAATAAATTTGACAAGTGGTGAAGCTTAATTATTATCTTGATGATCGACCTTAATTTTCATATTCATAATTTGGCGTTGTCATATATAGTTCTTTATGTCGAAGTTGCATCACTTATACTTTTTATCACACGAATGACAGTTTTATTTTAGCGATACCTGTGTAATGATAGGTCATTTGCTCAAAATTGTATAAATTGCGTTAATAATGTGCTTTGTTACTCTAAAAATACACTTGGACTAATTCATGTATATATAAATACAGTATATATACACGCGGTTGAGTAGACACGCTTTAAGCCTGTGTGCCAAAAATAGAAGTATTCCTGCTATTAATTAATGACCCCATGAGAAGACAGACACTGAAGCCTCATTTATTTTACTGATTTGAGTTTTCAGTTTAAGTTTTTACAGTAAAAAATTTTTAAAAAATATCACATCAACTTTTTCTGCTACAGTGAAAAACTCTAAAAAAATATCACATCTTAACTCGAATTAAAAACTCGAATCTGTGAAGTTAACTAAGCCTGAGTTATTTGCCGTGCCATGAGAACGCAGATGAGATGGGCCCTTGCAAACCGTCTTCCAGCTAAAAAGCCAGCAAAAGAGCTGTCATCCGATAGAAATTGACAAAAGGCAAGCATTTATAGTGAACA